TGGATATATATGTGTCTTAGGTTTTCACGCACATCACTCATTAAATAAAACTAGTTTTTACGGGTTAAGGCACGAAACTTTATTTATTTATTGATTAAATAAATAAAGTTTCGTGCATTAACCCGTAAAAACTAGTTTTATTTATATTTGGATACTTTTCACGAAAATGGACATAGAAACACCATTTACAATTACAAAAACTATGATAGTTTGCGTGAGCTCAAACTCGTACTAAGGGTACACAGGTTACAGTGCACACTTGCATCAAAGTTCTCCAATCCAACATTTCCATAAGTTAGTTTGTTCATGACTTCATGTTTATCGGTAGTTCCACATACTTTTAAGTATTTCAAGTAGCAAAATATTATTGGTAATATAGTATCATTTCAACTCACACAGTAAACCGATTTCTGTTTTCTTTCATCCAACGGAGTTTTCTACTCTACTCATAAAAACACATTATTATGATTTTGTTGAACGTAGCAGAATATACTTAACATTACTTTTGGAGATAAACTAAGATTAAAGGACATTTGAAATATATCTGGATGTCAATTGATAGATCATTAACCTGTATGCTTTACAAACATTTCGCTGATGATGGGAGTTGAATTTACGTGGATTTAAGTTAGAAACATCATGAACGGACGTGTCGGCAGCTAAACTTGTACAACTACCGATTTCAAGGGAAATTCGCTATATGGTTAATCACAAAAATGATAGGAGGATGAAGGAAGGACCTAAGGAAGATATTATATCCATAAAATGCTAAATTAACGCTGTCCTATCTTAAATACTTCTCTCGCTATGGCCCTGTTCCGTGGTACTTACATTAAACGCTGACAATAACACTACAAACAACATCAATCGAATTTACCGACACAATCGATGCAGATCACCTAGTTAAGACCAAATGAAGACTGTCAGCATGCGACTGCAACTATTGTTTGATATCCAAACAATTAAATGCCGTGCGAATCGAAAAACGATCGAAAACAAACCTGTGGTACAGAAATGATGTAATGAACTTGAAAATAAGTATGTATACAGGAAGAGTAACGCATAATATGAAAAGGTGATTAATGAAACAAGGATTGGCCTGTCCGCTTTCTCAAAGAGAAATTTCGAAATTCTCGCGCATCAAAATCTGAGCTCGTTCAAATACATTGATAAACAATTTTACCGAAAAATAATAGGTATCTACATTCCTGTTCCACGATAAGTCTGCAGTGGACTGACAGTAGTAAAAATTAAAACTTTGTACATGGCAGTACTGATTATAGTTTCATTAACTATCGCTGATACTTTATTCTATCCAACTTAAAAATAAAGCTTTAGCTATATTAGATATCGCTAAAGCTCGAAAAAGAAGTATTTCTTAAGTAAAACAAAACTCTTAATTATGTTTAATTTGTAAATATGAAATTCTTTTTTGAAAATTAGTCATTTGTTTAATGGTAAACGTTCTATTTTCAGCTCATTTGTACGTTTTTCGTCATCATGGATACGTTAATCAACTTGCGACGAAAAAAGGATTCTGTTCGACAATCGCAAGCGCTGTAATTTAAATTCTAGCTAGGCTCAGTCTTGTTCTCAGTCTGTCTGAAAGTGACATTTCCAATTTGCAATATTTTAATATAAATTGTTTCGTAAATCACTTTAATGTTGATAATATCAAGAACATTTTATTGTTATCATTGCTACCGATTTGATGGGCGATAAAAATAGTCGCCTTTCTTCTGTATTGATTATGAAATCACACTAATATTATAAAGGCGAAAGTTTATGAGTGTGTATGTTTGTTACTTCTTCACGTCTAAACGGTTGGAGCGATTTTAATAAGATTTGGTATGACGCTAGCTAACACTCTAGATTAACACATAGGCTACGTTTTACTGCGGGAAAATATCCCTAATAAACCGCGGCGACACCGCGGGGCACAGCTAGTTAAAATATATATCATAAAACAATTGAATTACATTACGACCGCAATGTTTGCTCTTTTTCAATTAAAACATCGAACGTAAAGCAACTCAGTTGTATCGTGGTCGCAAATTGGTTTCTTTAATGTAATGTTGTGTAAATTGTTGGTATCACTTTTTCTCGTTATTATTTAAGATTTCCCTATTACTTTTGAAATGCCATCTACTTCTATGACCAGAAAACCAAATGCCGAATGGCAAGCAAGCAACATAGCCACCAGAATTGCTTATTTCAAAATTCTCCCATTTGGGGTGGTACAGGGCTACGTCCATACTGCCAAGTATATGTTTTTTTTTGTTAAGTTTTCGAAATTCATTTCGATGCGCTTCGACTACCGCTAGTATGAATTCACCATTATTCTCGAGATAAAAATGACAATATCAGATATCCTTTATCATTATTTAATACCAAAATAATTGCAAAATTATTCTGACGTATACGATAACAGAACAGCAGACAGACATTCAGGGTCAGAAAATATAATTATGAATTTTAAAAGGGGAAAACTAACAGCTCGTTTACTCGCAGCCGAATCAATGATCATCCTAAGTGATCGTCAAATAAGACCTTATTTATTTAGGACCGCGGTAAGTCCCGCCGCGGGTCTTTTTGCTGTTAACGTATTTATTCTGTAGAAAAGTGGAAAATACGAATTCAACAAACGTGATAAATCCTTTTTACAAAGCTATTCAAACACATACAACTCCCTCAATAAGGAAGAGATAATAGCACGGTAGCTATGCGAAGAACGACACACTTTTTATCATCCACGCATCACCCACGACAACGGCCAACTAGAGCCGAGATGAACGTCCGTCAGAGAGAGATCCGATCCGAGAGATCCAAGAGTCTAGAGATGCCTTCTAATTGCTCTGACAGCCCTCAGACTCAAAAGGGCCTGGTGATTCTACGGTGGAGCAGAGACCATCCGTTGGGGATGCTCTCCTAGAAAACCGTGGCCACTATTCCTATACGAGCAAAGTGTTGACTCATTTCTTTGTCGTACTACTCGCAAATGAAATTCTTCGACCGTCATCATACCCACGTGTTACGATCGAGGATGTTTTTTTTCTAATTAGAAACCAGTTACGATCGCAACTGGTTACGAAACACAGTTACCATGGCGGCCGAAGCGGCCCGTGCATTATCCCTTCTTACAATCTTGGGGTCCTTTAAAAGAGGCGTGAGGATGATTTCTGGAGGCCGACAAGCTGAGGTTGGTTGATGTGGCAGTTCACAAAAGCTGCATCAGTTATCTTCGCGTCTGGATTTTACCACCACTTACCATCAGATGGGGTAGAGTCATTTGCCCAAAAAATGGTTTAAAGATGTAATGTTCATAGATGAATAAACATTTTAAATTTTACAATAGTATTAGTTTTACTTCATAAAACAATCCCTATAAATTATCTGTTGGTACTATAAATCAGAACGCTCCACGAATCAGAATCGAAACGGGGGGTAAATTTTCGGAGTTCGTATTAAAGAGGTTCTGCTGTACTTGATTACAAATCATCATTTGATCAAGATTAAATATTTAAAATACATTCCTTTTCACTATTCCGTTTTTTATTTAAACTAATTAATAAAGCTATCTGATTTAAGCATTTGTACTCCAGTCATGGATGTTTAATATGCATTTCTATATAAATATACTTATATATGTACAGTATATGTATTCTATCCGTTACCCTAGTGTCCCATAACACAAGCCTTATAGTGCTTAGCTTGGGGCTAGGTCAATTGGTGTGAGTGTTGGAAATATTTATTTATTTATATAGGTAACCAAATTCGGCCAGACGCGAAGTTCGGTAAAAGCTGCAGAACTCCGGTAATAACAATTAGAAAACGTATTTCGGTGCACCTAAAATAATAATATGCCCCAAAATATCATAGATAAATATCAGATCTTAGACTGTAAGTTTGTGTTTGCTTTCGACATTTAAAATGCTGACAATAAATGCTGCTGACAGAATGCGTCTGGGAGTATTAATTTCAAGTTTTTTTTATTTATTTTTTTCTAAATGGCTTCGCACGGGTTGTGCATTTAGCCAATGTCAAGTGTTAAAATGTTTACAAATTCTATAGCACTCGTGGTCAAAGTAATAAATCAAGTCAAAGTAAATGGCAGTCAAGTCAAACCCCCTTTCCCTATGTTTCAGTAAATGTGTGGGGATTTACTGGAACCTCCCCGTGGACTTCTTGAGGGAACGTCGAAAAACACTTTCCGCTATTTTGTTTCACTTGCCAACACTTGTGCATGTTCCCGAACACTTAGTGGTTAATAATCCACCATTATTAGACACTAACATCCGCCACTACACAATTTTTAACAAGAAAAACAAAACTGCTAAAGTGACGCTACCCGATCCCGCCAAAAAGTCTAATTACAAGTTATTTACAATATTCTCTACAACATGCGTAAGAATCAGAAATCAGACTGTAAGTAATGTGAGTAACATTTTGACGTGCCTGTGCCACCTGATACGTTCATTGTACACACTAATTCTTCTCGATTATCCATATTTTGTCCATCAGAAAATAAGAAAGGTCTGGCGGTCTTGGAATCATACTCTATTACGTTCTTTGCAATCCGATCTCAAAGTTATCTTAGCTACCTAGAGGAGGATCCTCTCCTTAATCATTCTTTCTTTCAATCCTTTCTTTCATCCTACACTCCCTTTCTCTCCCCCTTTAATTTAATGCTCCATTCATACTCCTGGCAGTATTCTTAGCAGCCTTGGGCTTGGGCACCAGCAGTGCTCGTTTCTCTTACCAACTCTCGTAACTCATGAACTAAAACTACCGAAATACACACAACAATCAAATTGAAAAACAGAACATATGAAAAAAGACTGGATGTCTCCCGATCTAGTACCGGAAAAAATAATTGTAGCATTTTTTTGCCTCACCAGCAATATCCGTGCCTGGACTCCATTCGCACTTGACATGAAAATGTGTACAAGTCTTTTATTCGACTAGAGAATATGTATAAGATATTAAAAATAATCACTCACCAATTGTCATGAAGAACAGCTTGACGCCCATGTCGAAGTGATACTTGGACGGCTCCGTCTGGTGCAGGCGGTGATATATGACGTCATAGCCCTCGCACGACTTGCCGGGCAGCAACGAGAACTCCCTGCGAGAAAAGGTGTAAGGGTTATGAACAAAATGGTGGTTTATCAAACGTGTTCAGCTGTAACCATACATTATCATCCGCCTTTTATGTCCGTCCTAACTGCTGTAGCTTAGACCTTCTCTATTGAATATGCCCTATAGAACCAAAATCTAATCTATATATCTATAAAACTCAAAGGTGACTGACTGACTGACATAGTGATCTATCAACGCACAGCCCAAACCACTGAACGGATCGGGCTGAAATTTGGTATGCAGGTAGATGTTATGACGTAGGCATCCGCTAAGAAAGGATTTTGATCAATTCTACCCCCAAGGGGATAAAATAGGGAATGAAAGTTTGTATGAAACTTTGTCAATTTTAAACCGATCGGGCTGAGACTTTGCATGCAGGTATAAGGAGAATCATAGATGAATGTCATTGTGTTTAATACAAGCCTGAGAACAAAAACTGTAGTCTACACTTCAGCTCTACACCGAAGCGAAGCGTAGGCGGGCCACTAATTCATTATAAGACGTCACTTAGGTTAATGAGACCTCAAGTCACAGAGGCACCAAAATAATGATGTGGACTTTCCTGAATCCTTTTTATGACAGTTTGAGCACGTGTAGAGGAGCGCATTACCTCCCCTGAAACGTTCCCAACTTGCGTCTTATGTTGCAATCTCGTTATGTTGCAAATGGCTCAACTTGTACCTTATGTTACAATACCGTTGCCTACAGTATCCAAATGTCCATTGACAAGCTTTTACGAATACACAGGACAATGAGCAACAGGCGCTGCCATTATTTTTCTTTTCCTCTCAGCCGGCAATGAATTTATCCTTTCCTAAGTACTAAAGAATAAAAGTTACATCTACTAATCTATTTATTTATCGGACAAGTTGATCGAGATTTGGTTGGCATTACGCTGTAACCTTTCAAGCAGTTTGGGTGTCCTCCTTTGGTAAACCCTTATGTTTTACTCGCTCGATTGAAAACTTCCGCAGTGGAGTTACATCGCATCGTTGGGGTCGCGTCGGGTCGGGTCGGGTCGGGTCGGGTCTACGTGGTTTGGTTACACAATCGGTAAAATGTACTCTTTTTCAATGTGTGAACACTATAATCAGATGTGTTGACGTAAAAACTTACGATGATTACACGAGATGGGTACACCGCATTTCAAAAATAAGCGCTCTGTCACTGTATAATTATGATTAAAAAATATACTAACGAATTGAGAATCTCCTCCAATTTGAAGTCGTTTCATTCATCATCATATACGGAAATTAGTTTCTCATGTTGGCACTTCATGCAGCTATTTGTATTTCCTATTTGCACAATGTTTGGATTTAAATCTCTGGTTTTGCGAATATGCTGTCTTGTTGTTTATTATGTATGATTTTTTTAATCCACAATAAAGAAAAAAGAGCTTTGTTGTTTTATTCAGTCTCGTATTTGGATCAGCGACAGAAAGGGCGATTTCTTTCAACTCCCAACGATGAAGGCTATCATTGAAAAAGTTTCGACCAGCATTTTTTTTCCGCTCAATGCTATTTTGCAGTGAAAGACACGCACACGCATCCGCAGGCGACTTTTTTTAAGCAATTAACTGCTAGATGTTTAAATCTAAAGAAAAGTTTTACTAGGAAAAAAAAGCATAATTAATTGGTCATACGTTCGCCCGGATTGCGAAGGGTGCGGGTTCGAGTCATCCCGTCCGCAGCCTGATCCGCGTGGATTTTTTTCTAGTAAAACTTTTCTTTAGACTTAAACATCTAGCAGTTAAATGCTTAAAAAAAAACAACTATAATTGCTATTTCTTCTTTCAGATGTTTAATACTTGAAAAAGTATTCATTTGGCGTTGTGGGTTACCTACAATGCGAAGAGATGGCGCTGCCTTGCAGCTTAAGGCTAGGAAAATTTCGACGCGGCCATCAGGGCCGTGGTAGCATAATTGGTCAGTACATTCGCCCGGTTTGCGAAGGGTGCGGGTTCGAGTCCCGTCCGCTGCCAGGTCCAAGTGGATATGTAAACATGTTCCAATTTGTAAAATTATTCTGTGTTTCAGTATGTTATTATGATTATCGTGATACATTTTAATGACCTATTCAAAAGAACTATGGCATTAAGTCAGTGGAGCGTGAAGCATAAAACATCAATAGCATTATTGAAGCATATGAATGTTCATTATATTAGGTACTTAACAAACGAAGAAACAATAATACAAAATAACAAAACCGACATCAAAGTCTAAAATGGAATTATGAAGTTAAAAAATAATATCTGGTTCATGATTTGGAAGTCCTGCATGATCAAGATTGATTGAATAGATTTTCATTTTTAAACCACCATTTTGCCAATTAGGAGCAGCCATTGAGCTAGCACCATAAGATAGTACAAAGTACACCTAGCTGTGGCACAATTTCTCAGCTGGTTAATGACAAATGAAATAACCCTTTTTTAAATATTTGGCTATTCAAATTTTATGACTTTTTTAAGCAAGTGAGCTCTTAAATCTAGTTGTTTATGAATACTTTCTTACATTTGTATTTTGAGTGAAAGATTGTGGTGGTCAGTAAACAAAAAAATTGCTGACATAACATCTTCTCTCGTAACTCTGCAACACTTTTTATACTTGACCAATACTTTAACTAAACAGTTAAAGTATGTGAATTTGTATTTTGTGCGACAGATTGTGATGATTAGTAAACAAAAAATTTGCTGACATAACATCTTCTCTCGTAACTCTGCAATGCTTTTTATAATTGACCAATACTCTTAACTGTTTAGTTAAAGTATGTGCTCTCGTAACTCTGCAACTCTTTTTATAATTGACCAATACTCTTAACTGTTTAGTTAAAGTATGTGAGTGCAACTCATGAAACTCACTTAAGAAACGTTAGATTTTTCAGTAAAAAATAAACTAGACAAATTTATTCCTCAGGCACTGGGCCTGCCTTATGAATTAAAGTTGTTAGTTTGTAAGTTTGTTAAATGTTAAATAAATATTATCACTCAAAAGTACTGCAACACTCTTGGATCATGAGCCTATAATCTCCCTCATTTCAATAAACCCAAGAACCCATTATTCTAACTTTACACTGGAAAATTAATTAAAGAGTTAACTATATTTTTTTTTGTAATAAAAAATAATTTCAGAGCTATTCAACTCACTATAAAAATAGAAATAATACTACTGTATTGAAACTAACTAACAACATGAATGAATCACAGTTAATTCTTAGATTAAGGAAAAAATAAAATAACAATTCAATCATCTGTAAATCTTTTTACCATCAATATTGATATAAATTTTTAGATAAGCTTAGTACTAAAATTTCTGCTAGATATTTAAACTGCAGTTACACATTTTATGGTGTTGTTTCCAACTAGTTAATTTAATAACATAGTCACTTGCAATGCATTATTCAAGGTTGGTGTAGATACACTTAACTATGTAACCACCTATTTATTTATTTATCAGCTGCATTATGTATACTTCGTTGTTTATTTGAGCCTTAAGCATCCTTGAAAATGATGCAAAATTATATGTTATCCACTAAAGGAGGAAATACAAGTTGAGCAAAGAATATGTAAAAGATACTTACAGCGCTTCAATGATAGGAAGAATTTCAGGAGAATTCATGCGACGATTGTCAAAAAATTCCGGAGCATTCTTTCGACACGAATAATATTTCTCTATACACCCTTTTGTCCTGTCTAAATCTCCATAACAAGCATTATAAAATAACACTAACTGTTTAGTAGTTAAATCTTTCGGCACGTATTTCGATTTATCTAAATTTTGAGTCCACTGTTTAAGTGAATTTATATCATCCTCAGAAAATATATCCATCGATGCCGTCACAGACTCATAATCGTATTCCAGCTCTACAGGCATATTTTCAATTTAAGTCACGAGAACGCGTTATTGACGAAATAAAATATTTATTTGAAGTGACACAACCTCCCACAACAACAATCAAATGACAACTAAAAATTATTGAAAAAGTTTAAAACTATAAAATACACTTTACAGCTCCGACTTCAAGTCCTTTTAGTCTTTTTTTCCTCCATCAATTTTTATGTGGTACTAAGCAATGGATTTGACTTTCATACAGTCTAGTTATTTCTGTAAGTATTTAATATTTCGTAATGTTCTATTAATCTTAATAATGCAGTCTTGTCACATATTTTTGCATTAAGGTGTGCGCTGCCTTAAGCGGGAGTAGGGAGCGGATGTCCGTCGCGAGGAGAGGCGGTTGGAGAGACATAAAAAAATATCCACTTTTTCAATTCGGTTACATACATCATACATAACAAATAGTTCCTTGCCTACATGATCGTGCACTAAACCAGCACCAAAGTCTTGTTAGACAAACCACATGGAATCGTGCCAAAAATTTGCCTCACTCATCATGTTTTACCTACTACAAAAATATTTGGTATTGAAATAGTAGGTTGTAATGACATTCGGAGCCATCTGGTTCCTACATATTTAGACCAATTAATTTAACATATACATAATCAGAATTGAAAAGTAATTCAGGTTTGAACTCAAAACATGGAAACAGATATTTCGTAAGTGCCTCGTTAAAATAATATAAAAATATTTAATTATCACTGACCTTATCGAAAATAATATTTAAAATGCGTTTTTCGGTGATTGCAGCGAAACAAATTTAGTTATTATTACTAAAAGGGATCGAATAAAATTATTTTGCTTTCTTTACTGGAGAAATATATTGCTAATTTCAACTCCACTCTTACTTTTGCCTGTGGCATACGCAGCAGAAAACAATGTTAGTACTAATAGAATTAATACAAAAATATTAATAACATTCAACATGATCGGAGGCCCAAACACGAAAGTATCGTCATCGTCAAATGTCGTGGAAGATTTTTTTTTTCTTTTATTTTCATTTATTTATCAAGCACGTTAATATTAAAACTAATTAGTTTTAAGTGTAAACATTCTTGCCTGAATCAGACCCAGTGTATTACAATATTTGAAATTTTGTTTTAGGCATACAAATGTTTTTACATATTTCTGGTAACAGTGGTTTATTGGACGGCTGATGTTTTACATCAAGGGATAATATCTTTAGTACCAATAGCTTTATATACAATTGTTGGTTCAAAAGACCCCGGATACATAAATCACGTAAGTTGTGTTTTTAAAAGAAAATAGTTAAAATTAAAAGAAAATAAAACTAGAAAAAAATCCACGCGGACCAGGCAGCAGGCGGGACTCGAACCCGCACCCTTCGCAATCCGGGCGAATACACTGACCAATTATGCTACCACGATATAATTATTATCTCTTAACTCAAATGTTTAATACTTGTAAAAGTATTCATTTGACGTTGTGAGTTACCTACAATGCAAAGTGATGGCGCTCTTCTAGCCATTTTAAAGCTGCAAGGCAGCGCCATCACCTCGCATTGTAGGTAACCCACAACGTCAAATGAATACTTTTACAAGTATTAAACAATTGAAAGAAGAGATAATAATTATATCGTGGTAGCATAACTGGTCAGTGCATTCGCCCGAGTTGCGAAGGGTTCAGGTTCGAGTCCCGTCTGCTGCCTGATCCGCGTGGATTTTTTTCTAGTTATATTTTCTTTAGATTGAAACATCAAGCAGTTACATGCTTAAAAATAAAAATTATAAATAGTTAAAATTATATAATAACTAGCTGACCCAGCGAACTTCGTATCGCCATAAAAATATGGGTGGTAGAAGGATGAAAATTTAGAGCTGTATGTATTTTTAATGCCACATTATAAAAAAAAATAAACCAAAATCTAAAAAATAAAAAAAAATGTTAGGGGTGGACAACCCTTATCACTTAGAGGTATGAAAAATAGATAGTAGCCGATTCTCAGACCTAGTAAATATGCATCAGTTTCATAAAAATCGGTCAGTCCGTTTCGGAGGAGTATGGTAACTAACATAGGAAGACAGGAGACCGGCTACCTTCTCATCCCTACTCCATGATGGTTGCTGGATGAGAGGTGACCCAGGTAGATATCTAGCAGGGATAACTGATCGATTGATCGTTGATCGGTTATCGACCGGTGAAGGCGGAAGATCAAATTGAATTGAGAAAAAAAAATATATTAAAAATAAAAATCGCGATGGTAAAATAGGGGTTGATTGTAAAGGGTTGAAAATTCAGGGTTATATGTATTTACTAATGCTGTATCATAAAAAAATCAAAAAAAATAAATGTATCTAAAATTGAAAAAAAAAATTTAGGGGTGGATTACCCTTAACATTTAGGGGGATGAAAAAAAAATGTTGTCCGATTCTCAGACCTACCCAATATGCACACAAAATTTCAAGAGAATCGGGAAAGCCGTTTCGGAGGAGTTTAACCACAAACACCGCGACACGAGAATTTTATATATTAGATTACAATTAGAACCTATATAGGAATGTAGATTTACGTGTCCCAAAAAGTCGCAATGGTCACTTTCCTTTTAGGATCCCAAGTTGTATTAAGTAAGCCACCACTGTAAAAACCATACAATATCTGTGCTAAAGACACTGTAATGTACTTATTCCTACGTAATAGAGGCTCTGTCATAGTTAATTTTCATCCATAAATCTACGCCCGTGAGAGCCTTGCTTGGTGCTAAGCTTAAAAGAAAAGAAATCCGATCCATCAAACCTGGATGAATTGCTTTCAAAGCGAACAATACACATGGCATTGGATAGTATGTCAGTAAGCGAATAGCCTAAGGCTACGTCTTGGTACTAAATTATGCTCTTTGTAATTTAATATTATTATAAAATTTAACAATTTTCAGATATTTGTAAGGAATGAGTTATTAGATTACTTAAGTGTAATGATGATAATTTTCGCGATAGAAAGAAGCAATTTGCATAGGAGGATAGCTATTAAACTTTTATTACAATTCGGTTGTTCACACTACAGGTAAATTAAATTAATTTCAATGCAAATTGTAATACATACTTTATATTTAAATTATCAACAAACTTTTAACTGGCAACTAGTAACAAAATTATAAAATTATGTAGTAGCAATTGAGTAGCAATGCCGCAACTTTCATGAATGTATAATTATGCGTATGTTATACTACAGTGTTGCAAGTTGCAAAATCTGAGAATTAGCTGGAATTATTTAAAATTTAATAAATACAGTCTAAGAAGTCATTTCTGAACTAACTAAATATGAAAGCAGTAAGAAAATTATTTAATAATATTAGTATAATATAATTTTGCATTCTTCTTCATCAGGTTAAGTTTTATATTGTTCTTCAGTACAACGTTCTCAGCAATGTGGCTTTCAGACATAATTGCATGCGGACTAATGACGCCACTTGTAAAGGCAATTTTAGCTGAATTGGAGCGAGTATGTAATTAAATAATAATTTACAACGAAAGATTAATAACAACGGAACTTTTTGAAGTTATACTTCTTTAGGCGCGTTATGAAAAAATGATGAGAGTGAAATTTTAAGATGCGCGTGCATCCAGTGCTGTCATATCTACCAACTTTTTGGTAGATCTACCAATTTTCACTTCAGTCTACCTATCTACCACCCTAGACCTAAAAACGAGCGACGTTGCGATGTATTGCGTGATGGTTTGTTGCGGAATCAATGTTGAATCTTTGCTCCCGTTTTATTGTAAAAACTAATTAACTGCGTATTAACGGTGCTGATTGCTGTTTGTTCTATGTCGCGTGCATTTATTTATGTAATGGATTCTGACAGCAGCGAAAGCAATGCACATAGTTCTAGGTTAGGAACTCCGCCACGAAAACCTATAAAAAGGCACTATGACCAAAAATATTCGAAATTATGGGAGAAAGACAAGGAATTTGCAGGTTGGCTTCAAGAAATTACTAAGGGTGACGGATATTTTTATTGCAAATCATGTAGGTGTGATCTGTATGTGTGTGTTCTGCATTGCATTGCATGCATTTTTAATCTTAAAAAATCTTCTAAATTGAGGTGGTAGATCTACCAATTTTGCATTTTACATTCTACCAACTTCTACCAACATTTCGCACATAATCTACTAATTTTCTAAAATTCGGGTTGGCAGCACTGCGTGCATCACTGTAACACAAAATTTTAACAGCATGAAGTTGGTCGCTAAATTAGCGACCAACTTCATGCGTTACTTTTGTGTTTACCGCACATTAAGAAAATCTACCAACAAAATAGAAATAGAATCTCTATTTAGTGGGTGCTAACGACTGCATTGTGAAGGCCTATCAAAAGTATTTATTAATCTGGAACAACGGAACCAAAGCGCGATTCAGGAGACTACAGCGCCATCTCTTGACCATTGGTGTAGTAGAACCAAAAACCACATCTTTATTTTTTGTAATAAAGTAACAGTTATAGGTATTCATATTTATAATATTTATCCACATGTTTCTAGTTTGTATATTCGGAATACGTGTTTGAGTTTCATACAAGTGTAAATCACATATGTTCTAATAAATTATATTCAGTAGCGATTTTAATTGAATATTTTGATTATTAATTTATTTTTTCAAATTAAAACTGAACTTTATTGACTGTGTCCTTTTCCAGACTTTTTATTAATTTATTGTAATTAATTATTTGCATGCAATTAAAAACTAAGTTTAAACGATGCCAAAGAAGGATAACTTCTCACGCGCCTACATAAGTACACGCACCCATTTTTTTTTTAAATGTAACCGATTGTTATTTTCACGCTATCAAACTTAATTGGTGTTTCATTTAGAGACAACCATTGCAATATTTAATGCGGCTTAGGGGGCCCAATTTCGATTATTGGAGAGAGTAGATAAAAATGTGGAGCGGCATCCCAGTTATCACAGTAATATTATAAAGTCAAAAGTTTGTGAGTGTGTATGTTTGTCACTTCTTCACGTCTAAACGGCTGGAGCGATTTTACTAAAATTTGGTATGGAGTTAGCTGACACCCTCGATTAACACATAGGCTACGTTCTACTGTAGAAAAAAATCCCTAATGAACCGTGGGTAACACAGCGGGGCACAGCTAGTTTAGAATAAATTTATATAAACCTAACTTAATGATTATAGTAAGTTACAAATAATCTGAGATAAGACCATTGTATTCACTTCTCAACATCATGTTATTGTATTTTAGATGGGAATTCTAGAGATACACGAAGTTATAGGAAAAGCTAAGCAGACATCTGAACGTCATGAACAGAAGTGTGTATTTTAAGTTGAAATACCTTAATAGTCACTTATTAACTAAAATGTTTAACAAATAAACATAATTTTATTTCAGGAAACCGAGACCAACTAATTTCACCATTTTCTATTTTTTAGGAATAGCTTATTCTTCATCAATAGGTATGTAATTGTACCCTTATAATAGAATATAGTATATTTTGTGTTTACACTACTAATAAATAAAGGTGTTTTATTTCCGTCGGTCAAATAATAAATATTATTTTGTAATTTGATGAAAAGAGACAAAACACTACTTAACTAAGGCTAAACTTCTTTTGATTACGCAACTTTTTTCTAATTTTTTGTTACAGGTAGCATAGCTACTGTTGTGGGAAGTCAAACAATTCAAATCTTCAAATTTTATTCAGAAAGGTAGGTTAGTTTGTCTTTTTTCTCTTCTTTACCCTTCTTACACCTACCTCAGATTCTTCTGAGTGTACGTGTAAAAACATCCTATCAAAGCAATCATATTAAACAACATCAGTGACATTTCGGACTCGCGAACGTTACGAATTCAATATTGATTCCTGCTAAGCGTAGAGTCTGTGCGGAAAGAGAATGGGATTTAGATTGGAGGGCACTGCAGTGCTTTTCTACCGTATTTGTAAGGTTTTACCCCTTATAGACATGATTAAATACAAAAAACCGCAAAAAAATCACAACAACAAACAAATCCGTATCAATACAAAACTTTGAAGTTTTACAGATTGCTGGGTTTGATTGCCAAATAAAAATCTTAATGTTAGTTCCGTGTTTCGCCACGCCCATTCTCTTTCCGCACAGACTCTACCTAGTATCTCGAATATTGTACTTATGTAACGACAGCACACCCTATGATTTTTTTTATGTTTTTAGGGAGACAAATCCGTACCATATCCTATATAAACGCGATATAAGACCCAATCTCTTAACCCCATGGAGCCTTAAACAGAAACACAATATATACCACCAAAATGCAGTTTTACTTCTGTGGTAGTAGCGTGGAGGTAACTTTCCTATGCTGGTAACACTAACGGGAGACGCCATTTATTATAATTAATGACATTTTGCGTTAATAATCGATAATTGTCGCTATGAAGGGCTTTTAATCGTCAGTCCGCGCGATCTGAGTGCAGCTCTGAGGAATGCTCTTGTGCTCGGAAACGCAGCTCGCGTTGATACACTGCGGGCAGACTCTGTGAGCAATACAGGAATGCGAGAGGCCGTAGTGTGCGCCCCCAACCTCATACCCCGACTGCTCTCAGATTACCTGTACGTTAAACGTCCATTATCGCGATAATTAACGGTATTTACCATTTGTGTGACTCCAGCACCAAAGACAGGCGAGCCAAAACAAACGGAAATTTCGTTAAGCTCTTCTTCTACCAAGAATCACCATTAAAAATTTGAATTGGTACCGATATTTTCTTCATTTATATCACAATTCTCCTTGGACTAATTTACTACCAATTCTCCTTCCCCCAGTTTGTTTCCGTCGAGTCCTCCCATCGAATTCCCACACGTGATCCTGTTGACCCTGCCGGGAGTGCTGCTCATGGAGCCACTGCTCTACGTCTGGATGAACTCGTACTTCCTCAGGATGTTTAGGTTTGGCTCAGTTTGACACTGCAGTGTTAAGCGTCCGCTGTCCATAAGACGCCTCATAATGGTAGGAATTCCCTCATTCAAGGGTGCACCTCATTACTTCAAAATTACCCATAAAACGGTCTCGATTTCAATGGAAAACGATGCGATTTTGAATGACTTTTATAGGTAAAATTACAAAATATATACGATGACGGAACACCCAGAGTCTGACATAACCCTTTAGCCGGCTGTAAGGTAGGTATCCATGAGGATTTTATACCCGCTCCCCCGCTTGGTGGGAGGAAAAGACAAGATAGCTGGTGCAGTAGTTTTACACTACCCCACATCGGGTCTACCACCGGAAATTCTCACCTTTCCAGTTATGAAGTTTAGTGTCGAGTATAAAATTAGTACTTAGAATTCAATATATACGAGTATAAGGCATTGTAAACAGGGCTCGAAGTAACACGGCATTGGAAATAAATATCACTGAAGAGGAAGCCATGTACATTAACACCCTGCTGAAGACGCAATATCATCAGCTCGGAAGGATTACTTACCACGAAACAGTGAGTATGTATACTCGATATAAAATGTTGTTTTCACGAAATGTTCTAAATTTTATGGCTGCCGACACCGACTTCGCCCGCGTTGTTTTTAAGAATCCCACAGGAACCTAACATTTTTCCTGGATAAAAAGTATTTTATGCCTCAATCTAGGTCATAAACTACATGCGTACCAAATTTCATCCATTCCCGTTTTGTATTTTTTAAGTGATCAGTAACAAACATTTAAACACACAAACTTTAACATTTATCATTTTAAAGTACGTTGTAGGATAATACTACTCCTAGATTCCGCTGGTTATACCCGTTAATTTTTTGAGAATTATTTATTACCAAAAATAGTTCCCATCTGATAGGATGGGTTCTAAAAAGTTACTTTGTAGCAACTTCTTGCAGTAGGTAAGAAAAACAGTTATTAAAATAATAAATATTCAGATTGTTGCTGTAATAACGACGGTGGCGTGTTTCCTACAAGCTTGCCTAAATTCAACATACATTGAAAGTTTTCCGGGAAATCACAGGTAAATCATAATTTAAGATTAACCCATAAAAATGTGACAGATAAATTATCATTTTTATAATATACATAGCCAATATATATCTATTTTTTCTGTATCCTTTTACAGTCATTTAAAGATATCAGCTCCGTGCTTTATATGCGTGCTCCTGTTATTTGTAACTCCAGTTGATTTAGACTTCATAAGATTTTTCAAGAAACAAGGTGAGTTTTTGATCCCTGTTTATCTTTCAAACCTTCGCATCTGCCGCTTAAACCGGAAAATCCCGGGATTCTGCGATAACTAAAATACCCGAGACTTAAAACCTCTTCCCGATAATTTAAATATCTCTATTTCATAATCACGTGCGCTAAAGATTTCCGATTCACCTGTAGTTAGAGTTTGCTAGGCCGCGAACCGGCCCGGAAAAATCCCGGATTTAAAATTTTGGTCTGGTTCTTTATTCTCTAATCAGTATCATGAAACCTACACTTTGTGGGTATTCATTGCAAATAATCATTACTACATAACTTCACAGGTAATGCCAACGAACCCTTGCCTACGTCAACAAGCAAGTCGTGTTTAAATTGTAATCATGTGCAGAACAATATGGATTGGAGTATGCTGTTTATGATAGGTTAATATGACGTTTATTTTCACCTAGGTAAGTAATAAAATAACTAGGTGTAAAAGTACAGTTTTATATTTTTCATGATAAATGTGTCATATTATCACAGAAACTATTATACTTTAGAAATATCTTTCTTATCCACAAGACTCGATCACGCGACGTCGTAAAAATTCTAATGAACGCTTTCAAGAATCTGAGAACAAGTATTTTATTAATTAGTAATTTCTCCATTCCATCAACCAGTCGTTTTGCTACCCTAGAAGCTCTGAAAGTTCAGGATGATGCGAGAACTGGAGTCGCCTTTGTTCATAAGCACTAGCAGACTGGTCCGCCATCGCTAATCCTTCTCCAGGTCATGCCTGATAACGTGGCTTTCTCCATCCCTCCAGCTATAGTAGCTGAAAGAGTCCGAAATTAACATAAAAAATTTTGCTCCGGCTTAGCATAATAAGCATTGTATTATTAATTTTGTAGTATCTCCTGATTTCTTGCTGCACAATTCTTCTGTCGTATTGGATATGTTTAGATGCCTGTTCAGTGCGAGTGTAACAACAACATGTTTGTTAATATTATGCATAATTATTTCTTTTTATACTTTTATAATTTTGTTAAGAATGCACACTCTGTCATTATTGTCACAAATGCATGCCGTGGCAGCCTATAATTAAGATACCACTTGAATTGTCACTTATACACTATTGTTATACTATACTATGTGTGGATATTCTTATGCGAGAGCTGCAGTCATCGTTGTTAGCTGCTGGCGATATGACTCGGCTTCCTTCTAACAGCAGCATGCTTAATAACGGGACTTTCTGCATTTCTCCAACAAAAAATAAGTCGGGAATGATGCGAGAGTTGGAGAAGTCCCTGCTAGCGCTGGCGACGAGGCCCGCCTTCACTTACAGAGGCTTCTCCTGGTCATTATATAACATATATTACATTATAATGTGTACCTCTAAATTCCTGGAGTAATAGCTGGAGCTAGTAGTTGTACCATTCTAGAAGGCATAAAAATGTTCGGTACGATGTGGGCCTTTGCTGTTAGCGTGGCGGCATGATTTTCCTACTCTACTTGCTGCTTCATGGCAGGTCATGGCTAATAAGCTTTCTCCAGTCATTAGTTGTGTCCCTCTAGAAGCTCTTAAAAATGATGCGATATCTGTAGTCCCTGTTCTGGTGCTGGCAGCGCGATTTTCCTTCGCGCTTATCCAAGTCTTGCATTATAACGTGACTTTCTAAATCCCTCTAGCAGTTGTATCACTTTAGAAGCTATTTAGAGCACTATTTGTATTTATCCTGTATGACACAGCAATCAAAATGCAGGTAAACAATTAATTTATATTTAATAATCATGTAATGAAAGGTGACGTCATGAATCATCTCTGAAGTCATTTTTCAATTTGACGACTCTGTAAATAATAAAACAGGGAGAAAAAAAAACAGCCCTTGCTGAGTTTCTTGCCGGTTCTTCTCAGTACAAGGTCTCCCGCCGTAGATTTACGAACCGATGGCGTAGCTTCTAGACATTCATGAGTGCTTGTAACAGCCTAAACTGAATAAATGATTTTGATTGATTGATTGATTGAGCTCTGATAGAAGTATGATATTCGAGGTAGAGAATATAGAAGATATCGGCTTCTCCAGGTCATGCCTAATAACGTGACTTTCTGCATTCCTTCAGCCAGCAGTTGTGCCACCTTAGAAGCTTTGCAAGAGTCCGGTATGATGCGAGAGCTGGAGAAGCCTCTGTTAGCCCTAGCGACGTGGCCCGCGCCCGTGTTAGCTCTCATAGCTATCGTGCTGTGCAAGCTGCTTACAGAGTACGCGGCCAACCCGTGCGTCGCTTACTGCGTATTGCCCAGCTTCGCGAGACTGGTACTATAAACAAACTATTTACCATGATTACTTGCTTGAAATATTGAAACATATAATATCTACCCTACCTACTTATTGTTAAACACCAATCAGATTCTCCGAGGTCCAGGCTCAGATGCTAATTGTAAGCCGCTGTAGTCATCTGAGTAAGTCACCTTTGCTCACCTGAATCCAATCCCCTACACAGGACCTTAGTAACTTGCACATATATGTCAACTTGTAACGTGGAGTTGCCTTCGCCTCACAGAAGATCGCAGAAAATTAACCACAGAAACACAAGTTGACACATGCGAGCATAGAACTCAGAAAGAGGTTAGAAGGGCCTTGTGGGCGGGGCAGGCGCGCCACAGTTGTGTGTGAGCAATGCTCATAACTTGATGAAAACTTGGTTCTGATTGCGTCGTTGCTCTCGGGTGTGAGCGCTGATTGGTTGGTGTAAAAGTAGTGGGAGCGTGCCGGCGACATTGGTTCCCGTATAAACGGTCTATGATCACCCTTCTAAACTCTCTGTATTCTGTGCATACGAGCAAGTTCCATGGTACATGGTGTGAGGAAGGAATGGTTAAACCTTTTTTCTTGCCAATTTTCAATAACAGACTTTTTGACACACCGAGTTCTAGCTCATGCCACTACCGATTTGCTATTTTCCACTTTTTATAAGCTGCAATAACATCAACTTCGAATAAATTCCCGAAAATTTACAGTTCAATGATTACGGTTCGAAAAAAATTGAGGTGCGTAAGAGAAGTAACAGAAGTATTGTCATCATCATCATCAACAGCCTAATAATGCCCCCACTGCTGGGGTACAGGCCTTCCCTATGGATGGAATAGGGAGATTGGGCCATGACCCACCACGCGGGCCCAGTGCCAATTGGCGGGTGCTAACGACTGTAGATGCAGCCGGGACCAACGGCTTAACTTGCCTTCTGAAGCACGGACTAACTCGAGATAGAAGATTTTTTTGTCACCCATCCAATGGCCGACCACTACGCTAACCACCTGCACCATCCAGCTCCTCTATGCAACCTCTCTTTTATACCTCTTAGAAGCATTATACAAAATCGTGAATAACTGAATGGTTTCATTATATAGATCTGTGTTTTTTCCTTAGAGCGTGGCAGGATCAGTGAATCCTCAGTACCTGATGATGGCTGCCACTCTTGGATGCTCGCTGCCGTTCCACCTCGTCACAGGGTCCCCTGTGAACGCCCTGGTGGCTGCGTATGTTGACATACCCCCGTGGAAGATGGTAATGTCATAAGCGACAAAGTAATAGCAAATCTACACACCAGCAAGCTATTAACGTCCCCACTGCTGGGGCACTGGCCTTCCCTTCGGATGCAATGAAATGAAAGTATACTTTATTAAAAAAGTTCTATTGAACCATCCAAGTTTTTCCCATCATCCATTGACGACTTATTTTAGTGAATACGAAGAATAGGCGCATGAAACCTTATCAGCATTTCACAGAGGATGGGATAGGTGGGTGTTACGACAATGGTCAAATCTGAGTAGGGAAATTGGGCCATGATCCACCACGCCCAATGTTGCTTAGTGGGTGCTAACGACTACAGACGCAAACGGGCCCAACGTCTTAACGTGCCTTCCCAAGAGCGGAGGAGCTTGAGACAGTTAATCTTTGGTCACCCCATGCCCCATCCCATGATCGACCATGACAAAAGTTGCTTAACTGCCATGAGACAGAACATATTTTAAATTAAATTCATATTCCTCAGATGTCCGCCGGGATTGGTCCAAGTGTTATGACTATAGTGGTGTCCTGGCTTACTGTGGCTGTGTGGTCCAGAGCGATATGGAATGATATACACCTCACACCTCTATGGGTGCTTGACAACCCGTTCAAGGATAAAGGCACTTAAAACAATACCTACAGCTATTACTTACTTTCATTTCATTTTGTTTGTCAGTTCTTTGTGCCATAAATAAGATGTGCGTACCCTTCGGCGGGCTACAGTGGAAAACGTAGGTTTCGTTTGCATAAAGATTTAGTAGGACCTTTAAAAAAATGTAACCAGTACCCTTAGCACAAACCAATATCGAATTCGTAACTTTTGAAAGTCCGAAATGTCATTGTCAAATGTGTACTGATTTTTAGTTCTCGTTACGTACTTTGTGGCGCTGCTGTTCAAGTTTCCTTACAAAATTTGACAATGACATTTCGCACTCTCAAACTATTCGAATTCGATAATGGTTCGTGCTAGGGGTACGAAAGATAAAGTCAAACGCTACGTCTCACCGAATGCTCTCAGACGAAACGCCTCAATTTTCATATTATGTATCTGGATCAATTTAAACAATTTTGATGAAGGAATATTTAGAAAAAAAATGTAGGAATACGTACAAAATTTTTTGCTCTGTTGAGTGACAACAAATAAAGAAAGTCCAATCAGTTGGTGGGCCCTTAGTTCTTACGTGTTCAAATTAGCAGAACTATTCAAAATGCTACCCTGTGAGTACGAGGTTAATATATAATCTACTAGCTCATAAACAAATTCAGGAGAACATATTATTTTTTATTTTGAACTAGAAGAACTGACGGCGACCAATATTCACGATGGACCATATTACAGTATATATGCCTGAGCGCTGGGTGCTCTCCGTCCTCTATCTCGGAAAGGGTTGACCGTCTAGAAAAAAAGTTGAGACAACAGTTGTGGCAATTTTTTTATCTATAATTTTCATAATAGATGTTGAAGGGATTGTAACCATAGAAATGGAGATAATTGCAAACTGTATTGTGTGTACTGTAACTGTACACGAATTTCCAGCTTATTAACTCAAATTCCGAGATTGACCCCTTTTTTCCCCATAAGTGACTGGACTTATTTACTATTGGCTACATTTTTTTAAAGGTCCTGTTTAATCTTTATGTATATGAAACGTAGGTTTTCCACTGTAGCCCAACGAAGGGCACGCGCAAGTGGTAAAATTTTAAAACCTGTCCTAATTAGGTAGCAAATAAAAGCCGTTTATATGTGGCTTGAATGCGTAGCCTTTTACTTGCCTACCTGTAATAATGTTTTCGATATAACAATAATAAACTAAAGAAAAGTTTACTAGAAAAAAAAATCCACGCGGACCAGGCAGCGGACGGGACTCGAACCCGCATCCTTCGCAATCCGGGCGAATGCACTGACCATTATGCTACCACGGCCCTATTAGCCGCGTCGAAATTTTCCTAGCGTTAAGCTGCAAGGCAGCGCCATCTCTTCGCATTGTAGGTAACCCACAATGTCAAATGAATACTTTTTCAAGTATTAAACATTTGAAAGAAGAAATAGCAATTATAGTTATGATTTTATTTTATTTTTAAGCATTTAACTGCTAGATGTTTAAATCTAAAGAAAAGTTTACTAGAAAAAAATCGCAATTGTCGCAATTGTCGTGATAAAAAATTATTTTATATTCCATTTAATAGAACATGTTACGTTAAAAATATGTTTACAAGACGTGCATGCATAACGTTTGACCAAAATGAAAAACTTACCACTATTGATATATTTAACACATCAATAGGCAAAATCAAAAACGCCTTTAAATTATACACTGTTTGATCACGTTTGTAGATTAGAATTTAATACTCACACATGTAACGCAGATAGGCTTTTGATCACATTTACTTAAAGTTCTTTAGTTTAAATTGATTAGCGCTAATTTGTTTACTTTAAAAGGTTTGTTAACAATTTCGTCGCTGTGTGGTTGGGTCCGGTGGGTCGGGATTGGTTGATTGTGCAGGTTGGCTCGGCTTTTCGTCTGTGGGAGCCCGGTAGTGTGTATCCGTTTAACAATTGTGCGCAGAAATTATATTTACATACATGCATTACTGGAGAAACATTGACGGGTTTCCGTGGGCGGGGGGTCGGGTCGATCTGTATTGTTAGCTCGTTTCGACTTACTGGGTTTTAGCTGTACAGCGCGATTTCTAATTAAGGAAACTGTAGGTCTGTAGTGATATATAAACTGACAATATTTTCAAAATTATATGTATGACCGTTTGTTTCTAATAAATAAATAAATAAAAAAAAAAAAAAAAAACCACGCGGACCAGGCAGCGGACGGGACTCGAACCCGCATCCTTCGCAATCCGGGCGAATGCACTGACCATTAAGCTACCATTAAGCGTGGTTCATAGTAGTATAGTATCATGCTGGCACTTCATAATAATGGCTATAAGTATTAAGTAAAAGTATTTTTATAATTTTTATTATTTTAAAGCATGTGACTGCTTGATGTTTAAATCTAAAGAAAATATAACTAGAAAAAAATCCACGCGGACCAGGCAGCAGACGGGACTCGAACCCGCACCCTTCGTAATCCGGGCGAATGCACTGACCAATTATGCTACTGCGGCCCTCACGGACCGCGTTGAAAACCTCCTAGCCATTCTTAAGCTGCAAGGCAGCCCCTAAAAGTATTTTGATTATTTCTTTAGCAGCAGTACCTATATATTCTTATCAAAGGGAATAGTCATTTTAAAGAAGAGACTGTTGATTTACTAATAGCCATGAAGTGTCAGCATAAAAGCCACAGAACACAGAAAGATGTTAGAAGCGTGATCATAGACCGTTTGTATGGGAACCGATGTCGCCGGCTCGCCACCACTAAACTTCCACCTAATAGATAATAGCCAATCAAACGACGAGAAATCAAACAATCGAACCAATCAACGCTCATACCCGGAGCGACGACGCAATCAGAACCAAATTTTGGTCAAGTTATGAGCATTTACTCACACATAACTGTGGCGCGCCTGCCCTGCCCACAAGGCCCTTCTAACCTCTTTTTCTATGTTCCATGATTAAAGCAATAACAAATCCAACAATAATAAAAATTCAATATACTTTTGACACGATTTATTACTATAACAACTAACAAATTTCTTCGATTAGCTATTTACAAAATGAGCATGTACAGTAACATACACTAATCACTGACAAGAAAACATAAGTATGTTCCTATTGTTTTCTAATTAATTGAACACCTTCTGATAAAAAAATATACATACTATATATGTTTTTTGTATATTCTATCATTGCAGCATTATGAAAATTATGCAATTACTGAAATACACTGGACACTTATGACTAAAAGTGTGAACCTTTGACAAGATTTTTATGGCTTTTGAAATCATGCTATCTCTTTCACATATTATACTTAGAGTAAAAGACAGCATTAACTTGTTGAGACAATAATGTGTTCATAAGTCACTACTACATTTTAACTTTAAGTCTATTAATTAGCATACGTTATTATTTGTCATTATACAAAATTCAGACTGGACCAATGCTGTTGCATGCAATTCTGAACCGTATGACAGAATTAAAATAAAGGTGCAAATTACTTGCACAGATTGCCTGTATTTTAACGAGTTTTCGACCTATTTTATTTACCTAAATCATGCCCAACGATTCAAGCCGTTACAGCAGATAATTACAGACTTTTTCGACTGTCCAATCTGTCTCTTCCACCTCTGCGGCATAGAAAAGGGACGGAAAATTGTTGATGATGACATGGCAAAACAGATATAAAACGATTCGAAGTCTATTTATTTAAATTGTAGCAGCACACAATAATAACACAACACAAAAGTTAATCCTTTTATTCAAATGACGAAACACCGTCCAGGAAATAGTGATGCTGAATAATTATTTGGTTACATAGATCTGAAAAGAATGACCGCGTGCCGCGGCGGCTGCTTGAAGAGATGCGGTGATAGTGATAGAGTGAAGCGAATATTTCGCACGAAAGTTCTTTTCAGAGCTATGTAACCAAATAATTATTCAGCATCACTATTTCCTGGACGGTGTTTCGTCATTTGAATAAAAGGATTAACTTCTGTGTTGTGTTATTATTGTGTGCTGCTACAAAATTTACCATACTACGCTCATACGAAATAAGTTGAATTATTTTTACAAAATTAAATTATGTAGTTGATTCAGAAACCATGCAGCAGAATCGATCTTATTGTATATATTTTAAGATAAATTACCTACAACACTACGCATACATTTTTATAAACAAAGCATTATAAGGACTTTGCTTCACATTATTTTTAACACTTAGCAAGTTTACATAGGTGTGTTGCCACAAATAAATATCGTTATAAGTACAAGGCATCTATGTCTAACTTTCATTATTATATACTCATTTTTATATAAAAGAAAATATTATCTAAAATATCACATCTAAAAATAACTTTCTCCTTTAAAAAAATATAACTATCAACATCCCATCACAGCTACACCCAAAGGTTAATTAAAAACCGATTCAATGCTCATCAGTTTAAAATACAAAACAGGTTATCTATCACATACATATTACTTTTTTGTACGACAACCTTACTTTATAAATATATGGAGAATTTTAGCGTACTGTTTAATAACAAAAAATATTTTTATAAGTTGTGTTTTGTCAATTTCCTTCGTGTTGTGATTGAATGAAAACACAATTGAATAACACAACACACAACACGATTGAATGACAAACCATACTAATTCTTCTGTACGAGTAAATATACCAGTAGTAATTATATAAACTTCGGTCGTTACTATTCGTCAAGTGTTGAGGATTTTCTTGTGCCCATTTTTTATATTATGAATTTCGATAGATAGCAGCCGTTCTAGTAAGTTATTTAATTGTTCTAGACATAATTTGCCATTTTATGGCCTTCTTTATTTTTGTTTTTGATTTGAGACAAAATCTTTTTGATCAATATTAACGAACAAAGAATAGTTCAACATTTTAGTCAATCAAAATTAACAGATTCAAATAATCCGCATTTTGTAAGACAATACAAATGTTGAGCTTCAATATTAGTTAAAAGTATAAATTAAAACCATATCAAAAAGTTTTCCACACTTAAGGAGTTTAAAATAAAAGATAAAATGATTATAAATTAAATTAAATATAATTTTATAAAACTCCACGTTTTATTGGTGTAATCATAAAGACGGCGTTTTGTGAACTCCTTACATAAAATAATAATTATATGAGATTTATCAAATTGGGAGTTCAAAATTATAGATCCATACATTGACGCGTCACAGACTTTAGCACTTTTTAAAGTCACAAAAACAGCAGGACATTTTTTTGCGTTTTTCATTTTGTTTAAATTGTAGCTCAGGGGCAACATTGACATTATACTTACAATTAACATCCTTCATGTAATGTGAACATTAAAAATAACATTTCGTATTCCTCACCCGCTTAACCACTAAATCTAAAAGTATTATAAATACAAACATCATATAATCTTTTATATATTTTTTGGCAATATATTTCACTGTAAGTCGGTGGGTCGACTTTTCATACGCATTAAAAAAATATATTTGTGTATATAGCAATATTATTCCGGTTAAATGCTAGTCGGGGCCAGTGTTTCGAAATGGAAATTGATAAAACAGTTTTTTGGCTTAAAATTCAGCAGACAGAGACGTCAATTGCTTGCTTAGATTAGTAGTAGGTAGCCGTAAAATAGCAAAACAAAAAGTGAAGAAGAAGAATGTAATAGTAGCTCTTAAGTACTTTGTGATGAAAATAGAATATTAAGGTAACTTACTGACTTATTCAGAGAGCAGCACGGCTGCGCGGTCAGGAGGGGAGTAGGCATACACAGCTTTCCCCAAGTCGAGTTGGGCATACAAATGATACATGTGTGCAGGATATGGCGATGTACTTTGCCATTGTTTATGTGTGTGTCGTAGTTACAGTTTTGTTTAATGTGCGTGTACGTTAAACTGCGTTTGTGGGCATATCCCCCCCCCCCCCCCTCCTCCGGCCCCGCAAATATTATAATGATTTGAATAGTATTATATAACTATGTATTTATTATGTAACTATGGCTACTTCCTCCCGAGTTGCTCTACGAATTACATATTAAATATTTTTGACGGCTCTGAATGCATTATATTATTAGACTACTTCATATTATTGTTCTAGGCGATTTGCATTCATAAATTAGGCTAACAAAATAGTTATTACAATAATAAACTGAATTAGAACATTTTTTAATAATTTGGTGCGTATGATAATTAATAATCGAAACACTGACCAAAACGAAAATGCATCTGGCAGAAATACATAAAAAAAAACTTACTATTTGTATTTGTACGTAAATTAATAACATATACGTTTTCGTATTCACATTGTATTTTTATTAATTCCAAAATTAGAGTAGGTACCTTTTAATTTATGATATATATGTACGAATAAATAGTTTTTAGACTTTCTAATATAAATTATTATTCTCGAAAAATAATACATATAGGTTATTAGAGACATGACAAGAATCTCTCGTCGTTAAAACTTGTAGATTGTGCTCAGAGAGAAACCAGTAAATATTTCTAATTCTTATTACTTTTCATAATAAGTAGATCTTTTTAAATTTTACTAAAATGTAATTCAGATCACAGTTACGTCAAAAGTCGACTTAAGCACCGAATAGGTAATATTCTTATAAATTACAATCTATACAATTAAGTGCAATTCAAAGTAAATGGCGGCTGTGAAGTTAGCGCGAGTCGCGGCGTAGTAAACGAAATGTCGGGTGAAGTAAACGATAGTGGGACGTCATTGACGATAGCTGAAACCTGCACATACCGTGCGAACAAGATCTTGTCGCGCGTGACCTTAATCGGAACTAATTTTAGAAAGGTATAAATAAGGCTTTTTACTTATATAGGAAGGTGTAAACACCATTTATATTTCCTAATACTTCTTCCTAGATATTGCAAATGTTGACTTAATTCTACGTGACGAGATTTTACGCACTCATTTAATCCTTATTTCACTAGCAGCGCCCTCCTGTAAATGTCATCTAATTGCCACGAGATCTAGGTCGCAATGTAGTTGCGCTTGTTGCTAACTTTACAGCCGTCATTAAGTTTCAATCGGACTAAACACCGTAGCGCGCGCTTTCTAAACTCGCTGTGAACGTTTGGCAACGAGTTGGGCCATCATTTTAGCCAAAAATTTTCTTCGCTATTTACACATTGTCGTATTGATGTACCAAAATTAATTAATTAACACGAAAAATCTTCCCTTTGATACAGTTAGACAAACAATATAGGTGGCCGTGCAAATAAGTCAAGTAGGCATCAACACGTTGGCCAATACCTTGGCCTAATGCCCACAACGAGCTTTACAGTTAATAGTAAAATAAATATACACATTTGACATCATTGTTATTGTGACCAGAAAAAGGCACAAAATAATATCAAATTTGTATAAACATTTCAAAGGACCATTGCTTTTAAATACAACAGAATATAGTATTTCTATTTGTCATAGAAACATCACCGTTATTTGTAAGTGTAATAAGGTTAGTATTGCCATTGTAATTATATCTTATTTTTACTTATATTTAGTTATTAATTAGCAGCTCTTAAGGCGTTTGTTTGCTGGACGATATTAAACCTTATGCTTAAAGTTAAAAGTAAGTTGTTCAAAATTAGTCCACATTTGTACTATGGATATTGAATATTATTGCTATCACAAAAAGTTGAACTTCCTGCAACACAAACGTAACACGTATTGCGGTTTTGCAATCTTATTACTGTTACAAATAAGGTGAATTTTCTTTAACACAGAATAGAAGACTACAATGAATCAGAAATAATATGGAACATTTTTAGCGCAGTAAAAAGTGGTTCCACGCAAACTGTGATCAAATAAGCGGGGCGAAAAAACTGCGAGCAACACGCATGGGATTGGCTGGGATTGCCGTATATTATTTTATCCAATGAATGGATAGCCGAATTCATTTGCAGATATTTGATTTGTCAAAATATTTTGTTTTGTCTGTGTGCATGTCGCGTTAGTATTGAAGTTTACTTGTAGGAGTCTGGTGGAACCATGTTTTAGCGGTCTTCGTTAGAGAGTAATTCCATATCATTTCCAATCGGTTGGAAGACTTAGTATTTTATCCACGCGCTGTAGCTACAGTAATTTATCTAACGCCTCTTAATGTAATCACAGGAGAACATTCCTTTAGCTATTTCTACTAACGCCGTACTATTAGCTAAACTATTCGAAACGCCGCATTGGAATCGGCCGCTGTTTTTCAAGTTTTCTAAAGCTACGCCGCAGCTAAGTGTTAAGTTGCGTTGTAATACCGAAGCGGTTGTGTTGCCAGCTATGTCTGCCTCTAGAGGTTTGAATATGAAAGAACCCCATGTTGGGTAAGCTCCCCAAACTAATAGTGTGGTTATGATTTTAGGTCCGATGCCGCCGACAGCCTGTTTGGGAATTCACAAAATTATTAATAAATGTTTTTTGTTTCTACTTATCTTGTAAACATGTAATGTAATTTAAATCTAGAGAATATAATTAGAAAAATTTCCACGCGGACCAGGTAGCTGACGGGACTCGAACCCGCTCCTTTCGCTATCCGGGCGAGTGCACTGACTAATTATGCTACCGCAGCCCAGATGGCCGTGTCGAAATTCTTCTAGCCATTCTTCAGCCATCAAATATATATGTAATGTAATTATTAAATATGAATGGTGGGTTTTTTTTTGTACAAAATATCAAATCAGTAAGGAATTCAATTTTTTTTATCGATTACGAACGTTCGTTCGTTTCGGTTAAAACGAATCGCTATGAGGAATTCCACAGTTTCAGATGGCCTGATTTATTTATTAGCAGACCATTTTTATAAGTCATTTCTGTTTATATTATTTAACCTGGGGTCTTTTAGAGAGGGGTGAAAAAGCATTTCTGCAGGCCGGCAAGGTGAGGATGGTATGTGTAGCAGTATCAGCTTTCTTCGCGTTTGGACTTTATCACCACTTAACATCAGGTGGGATAGAGACATTTGCCTATTTTTTACGTGACAGTTTAAAGAGACTTGTTACACGCTGAAACAGTATTGCTGCATAAGGTTTGCAAAGCATGCGTATTAGGAAAGGTTTTCTTACCATTCTAGCGGTGGGTATATTCGCGACTCCGGCGACGATGGCGTTGGGTGGAGTTCCTACGGGCATGTGGAATGCCATAGAGCAGGCTAGTGTCGCCGGCACCATGAGGTAACGTGGGTCAATGTGTAGCGTGCGAGACTGCAACAAATATATCAATAAATAATTAAGGTAAAAAAAACCTTTTTAAAAACAAGCTTTTATTCAAATGCGCTAAAAAGAAAAAAAGTAAATTTCAACTAAATTAGTTAAAGATATCTGTTTTTAAATAGATTTTCAAATTTTAGAAGTCCGCCATATTGGATTGAGAGTGACGTCACATTTTTTTCGAGTTACTCACAGCAAGCCCTTTAATTTGATACCCATATTGTAGGAATGCATTAAAAATGATTGGTCCGCCATTTTGGGTATGCCGCCATATTGGATTTAGAATGACGTCACACTGTTAATCATGCATTGTCATCCGAATTGAACGAGCATACCAAATTTCAGCTTAATCGGTTGAGGGCAAGTGCTTTAAAATTGAGTTGTAAGATTTGACCGTAACAAACATACATAGCAAGTTAAATAAAAGCTTGTAAAATATACTTCAACAACTTCTGTTCTGTGACGCATGTCAACTAAACCAATATGGCGATCTGTGTTATGATGACTAAAATTGGTAGTATAAAAGTGCTTATATTATTATCTGTTAATTCATTTAAATATAAAAATCATATTTTGAAATTTTCTATGACAAATCACCCAGCCAATGGAATGCTTCAGACTCTTAAGAATTTAATTTATAATGAATGTATTTAAATGAAGAATAAATAACAATATTTTAATGAATTTATGGTGTCGATTCTAGCATGATTCTCTAAACTTTTTCATTATGTATTGGGAATGATAAGGATACACTGCCGTCAAATTTAGGTTTGGGTTGGAGAGTCATGCTAGAATTGACACCAAACACCAATAATGTATGTAAAGAATGATAAAAACTTAATTTATAAATTATATTGTGCAATTGTATCTCTTATCTATTAGACAAGTCCGTCCGTCTGTGGTGCTGTTTCAGCGGCCAAACCGTAAGAGATAGATAAAGAGAATATTTAAGTTATAAGTTAAGAATAGTCTGATAAGACTACAAACCGGATTTGAGTAACGTAGCACTTCCAGTTTTCGAGAAATCACGAATTTCAAACGAAACCACACAAAATCTCCGAAGTTCTCAATTAATTAAATACATTTTTTTTTAAATCAGGTTTTGGTGAACATTTGGTTCACTGGTTTGCTAGTAATAATATGTTTTAAATAGATAATAACCCTCTAAAGTTGCTGTGCCCTTGCAGGGCGTCACATAGTTACTGTATTTGTTTTGTACCACCTTATTTTTGTGAATGTGATATGCAATGAATGAATAAATAAATAAATAGATAAGAAGTTGTAAACATAAAATTATATGTTATATTGTCGTGCTCTACTGTAAGGAGTTGTTTCCGCTCTGTATATATGGCGCTATCTCCAAATTTCGTCAGCGCGATGTAAGTGTAGAGGACTCACCATGTTGGCTAATACTGGCAGGATCAGATTGGCTATGGCCACGTTGGAAGTGAACTCTGTGATGAACTGCGTCACCAACACTACTACCAGCAGTACCACGGGATGCGGGAGACCTCGTAGGCCTTCTAACGAAGACCCGATGCGACGAGATAAGCCAGTGGCTTTACTGCCTTCAGCTAGGGCGAAGCCTCCGCCTGGGGACGAACGAGATGAAACATCGAATAATTTGATTGCCTTTATAAATATCGCATCTAAATTATGACAATTAAATAATGGTACTCGTCTTTATCGCAACCAACTGGCTTATGTCGAATCTGGCATGATTCTCAAAAAGTAAAAAACTAAATTTAGCATCAGTCTCTCCTTTTCTTTCTGTATAAAGAATGACAAGAATAGTGAGAATGTGACTGTGTGAATAGTGTAAAAGACGACGTCAGAGGGTAGACCGATATGTCTGCCGATAACATCTACCCGCAATTACTTCAATTACTCCGTGATCATGGCGCTTGCAACAGTGCCGAAATGTCGGAGACTCATAAAAAACAAGGTACATGGTAACAATCCCGTTAATAGCTATAATGTTAGTGACCATGAAAGTTTAAAACAATATAAGGATACACTGTTGTCAAATTTAAGTTAAGGTTTAGAGAATCATGCCATAGTCGACACCATTGTGTTAAACAAACGTCGAGTCTAGTTTTTGGCATAGTGAAAGTCCAAAAAGAATATAACGTTGAAAATGGCTGATCAAGACAGCCAAATGATCGTTCAGTTCAGTATTTCGGTTTTGGTCAGGTTAGATTTATAACAAATCAAACATCACAAATTCATCAATATCGCATTAACTAAAGATTACGCGCTCAATAACTTAGCTAGCTGTGCTTCGACCAATTCATTGCATGGTGGCGTTAAATTAACGGGCTAAACGTCCAACTGACTGGCTAATTTAACCAAATAGCGATTATCACTCCTAACCGAGTTTATGCAAGGGAACTCCAGAAAAACAGCTGGAACCACTTAAATTCAAAAAATATTATGTTCCAAGATTTAAATTTACACCTGGACCAAGCAGATGGCGTTGCAGTCGGGTTGTAGAATTTTCTTATATATATTTATACGCATCGGACAACTTCTATCGCCTCCGCTAATTAAATGGATAAAAACTAAGTCTTGTCAGTTGTCCAGAATAATAAATAAAATAGTTTTATGTATAAAAATAATGGTTCTGAATTAACGAATTTTAATCATTTACTTATTTATTTCACTCACCCAACAAGAACAGAAGACCCCATGGCACCTTGTCCTTCAGTATACCCCAGGTAACAATGCCAGTAGAAGGCTTGGACGCCGCTAACTCCTCGTCTGTAAACATAAATAGAAAAAAAACCATATTGAAAATTTCTAAAGCCACCCGGCGCGTGTTTTTCCCTACAGTCAACAAAAATATCAACATTCAACAAAATCGTCACAAAACTTTGTTTCACTACACATATTTGATGGCATCAACAATATTTTTGCTTTCTGAGCCCAACGGAAACACGTACACAAATCGCGAGCGAGAGGGGCAGGGTACTGTTTCATCGGCCATTTTTTGTCAACTCGCTAGCGGAGGCTGCGTTCCAAATCAACGACCCAAGTACAACTTTTCACTCGTTTAAATTTTGCCATAAAGACGTTTTGCAGACGACGGGGCGGGGCGGGCATTTTGTCCGCGAAGCAATAAAAACCGCGTCTGCCCGTCGATGTCTGCGGCTGCCCGCGCCGCGTACACAAAGCACACGACGGGCAGAGGCAGTCAGTTCAGGAGCTCTATTTTTGAATCACTCGTCTGACATAGTATAGTCGAATGCGACATAAGTCACCGTCGACTTTCAAGTCGCATAATACTGATTTTCCGTATTTTTGAATCACTCGTCACCAGTGTTACCTGTTTGATACGAAATACGAAATTTTACTCATTTCACGCAGAAGTAATAAAAACCGGTAATTACTACTACTCTTTGTCGTTTCATATAAAGCATGACAATGATAGATTATCGTCGTCTAATACCACAAAAAAATTGACAATTACTCTATCATTCGCCTCCACCATTCGCCATGCAACGAGTGGTCTCACCCATTCGTTGCACTCGAGCGATTCAAAAATACGGAATTATTATGTCGAATAAAATTTAGTAGAAATCGAGCGTTCGACGCAAGACGAGTGATTCAAAAATAGAGCTCCAGGACGTTCGTTCTAGTGAATAGTCCATACTAAAAAGCGCGTGGCGCGGATTGAGCTAGCCACCCCGCGCCGCCGTCTGCGTGACTGCATATAAACTGGTTTGTATGATCCACGGCGGGCAGCCGCGGACATGCCGCGCCGCCACTGCCCGCCGGGCACCCAAGGCGCGGTCTTTTTGCCCTCTGTGTGCGTTTGTAGTATAGGATTCACTTTGTGCTAACGTTCGCGGCGAAATTGACCGGCCCGCCCCGCCCCGTCGTCTGCAAAGCGCCAAAATGTACGAAATTTTTGACTAATTTGTCAGTTGTTGCACCTGGATCGTCGTTTTTGAACGTGGAGGCTGCGTTCCAAATCTACGACCCAAGTACAACTTTTCACTCGTTTAAATTTTGACATAAAATGTACGAAACTTTTGACTAATTTGTCAGTTGTTGCACCTGGATCGTCGTTTTTGAACGTAGCCCTGTGTGTTTGTGTACGATATACAGCAACGTGAGCAGTAGTCGGCGTGTGTAAAGGAAAATGTTTCAGAAACAAAGTTTTGTGTAGGTGTACGTGTTTATGTTGAAGATTCACGCCAATAAGGATGATGAGTATTTTTTTTTCTTCGTTTATCAGGTAGATTATCTAAAAGTATTGGACACGTATGTTTTCTTTTTTCACATAATATAAACATTGCAGAGATATATTGATTTGAAAAGTCGCATGACGTCACGTTTCGGTACAATTTGCACTTAAAAGTGACGTCACGAGCCCCTACTCCCAAACTTTGACGCGCTCTATCTTTGTCATTTTTTGGTTGATTGCCAAAAGAAAAAATACGTGTCCATTATTTTTTGATCAGCTAACTGACGGACTATAAAGAATTTCGTTTACGTAAAGTAATCCCCGTCATCATACCTATTAACCTAGCCTCTAAAGTGAGCTCTGTGAGGCATGTGTTGTAGATTCACAAAAAGTATTGAACATATATTTTAGACTTTCTTACATAAACAAAACATTACAGAGATATATTGATTTGAAATGTCGCATGACATCACATCTTGATATAATTTTTGCTTAGAAATGACGTCACAAGCAAACATTGACGTGCTATGTCTACGTAAAATTTTCCTTCGTTTTAAAAAATTAAAATATGAGAGACCATAAGTATTTGGTAATGTAACCTTAGAAAAGTAGATAGGGTACGCTCATACTAGCATAAAATAAAATATGATCCGACTGAACTTTATAAGCAACTCTTACACACGCACACGTCTGTATATAAACATTCAACCGAGCGATTGAGACAGACTATACGCTTTAACGCAGCGTATTGTTGTCCTTTTCTTGATAACAAAATGGCGAATACGTAAATAACATTCACGGCAAACCGTGATTTTTAAGAAAAAAATGTTTTTACGGTTTTACGAATGAAAAGTGTTGCTGAGGCATTTGTTATAAGATTTTAAACTTTTGTGTTTCTTATAAAAGCATCGAAGGCATTGTTTTATCTTCATAACACAGAATATACGCAATATTGTTATTTTCAGTGCACATGCAGCGTGTTTGAATGTGCAATTGAGACTAAAGCGAATTATGGTCATGCACCACAATTTAAGCGGATCACTTTTGAGCCGCGAGTAGCGTATCTTCCCTTTTTGTTTTAATCTAAGAATGTAACTCATCACCCCTATAGGTGTGAGTGTTTTAAATATTGATTTATTTATTCACAATATTACCAAAAACCCAACACAATGATAAGTTACATCGTTAAAGAAAAATTGAGCAAGTAAACTCACATGAGCTAGATGACTTGAAGAACTTGACGAAGTCCATAGACATCGGTATGATGAACATGAGCACCACTATGAACATGGAAGTCACGCCGTCCTTCACTTTCCTGTCAAACAAACAAAAACCATAATAAAATATACACTCCCGGACACATCTATCGACCCACACAATTTTTGGTGGTCCCTATCTAAAAATATATGTTACATTGAGCAAAAACAATAGGGATGTAGGGCCCGCTAGTATTTATAATCTTCTTGTGGCATAAAAATCATAAAGAAGATTACAAATAGTACAAATAGTAGTAGTTTCAGCCAAATTGACTTTAGCGTAGAATTTTCTTTAGATTAAAAATAAAAAAAAACATTATAAAAATGTTTAGAATCTGACTACAGCGTGATCTACAGTTAAACTGTCAAACTACATAGCCAGAAAGGCGTAATAAAAAAAATGTCCCCTATGCAAAGTTTCATCTGGATCTGTTGAGTTTCCAATTCGGAATTGAACCTGAAATGGCTCCGAGAGAGGAAAATATTTTTAGGAGATGGTAACACTGTTTCACAGACTAAACTGTTGGTATGTCGAAAGATAAATTTATAGAGTACTTGTGTGTCAATTATTTTTATGTGTCAAGCCTTTAAGGGTCAATCAATTTTTATAGTCCGTGAATGAAGACCTTTGCGTGTTATTATAACACTAGCAAACCAGTGAACCAAATGTTCACCAAAAAAAAATGTATTTAATTAATTGGGAACTTCGGAGATTTTGTGTGGTTTCGTTTGAAATAGAAATCACGTGATTTCTCGAAAACCGGAAGTGCTACGTTACTCACATCCGGTTTGTAGTCTTATCAGACTATTCTTAACTTATAACTTAAACATTCTCTATACCTATCTCTTACGGTTTGGCCGCTGAAACAGCACCACGGACGGACGGACGGACTTGTCTATTAGATAAGAGATTTTTAACTCACATGGAGGTCATGACGTCAGCCCATCCGTTCATGAATCCAGGCTTCCTGAAGATGTACAGGAACACAGCCAAAATAAACAGCAGGCCGGACGACTAGTGACAAACATATTACCGGTTAATTCTGTAACAACCTCGTTTGAATACCCCTCGCTTACACCTAGGTATAAAACATGTATAAATAAATAATAATATAATAAATAAATATTTCCGAGACTCACACCAATTAGCCTAGCCCCAAAGTAAGCACTGTAAGGCTTGTGTTATGGGATGCTAGGGTAACGGATAGAATACATATACAGTACATATATAAGTATATTTATATAGAAATAGATATTAAACATCCATGACTGGAGTACAAATGCTCGTATTCATCACACAAACATCTGCCCCCACCGGGATTCGAACCCGGGACCTCTCGAGTCGGCGACACCATGAAACCCGGCGTACAAACCACTCGACCACGGAGGTCGTCAAACAAATGTATATAACAAATGTTATCATCATCATCAGCCTATTAATATCCCCACTGCTGGGGCCTTCCCTATGGTTGGAATAGGGAGATTAGGACATGACCCACCACGCGGGCCCAGTGCAGATTGGTGGGTGCTGACGACTGCAGATGCAGCCGGGTCCAACGGCTTGAAGTGCCTTCCGAAGCACGGAGGAGCTCGAGATAGTAAATTTTTGGTCACCCATCCAATAACCGACCACTTTAGTAATGCCCGGGCATTAAAAAAAAACAAAAATCATTTATTCAGTCTAGGCTGTTACAAGCAGTAGTGGAAGTCGAGAAGCTACGCCATCGGTTCGCAAAACTACGGCGGGAGACCTTGTACGAGAAAAACCGTTAAGAAACTCAGCAAGGGCTGCTTTTTTCTCCCTGTATTATTATGCACAGATACGTCAAGTTGAAAAATGACTTCAGAGATAATTCTGAAGTCACCTTCCATTACATAATTAGAATATACACAGAACACAGAAAGAGGTTAGAATGGCCTTGTGGGCGGGGCAGGCGCGCACAGACGTAAAGAAAATTATAAATTTAATTTTCGTTACGCCTGTTGGGACATTTGATACGTATTGAGATCGAACTGAAATATTGGTTTATACTAAGGGTACATGTGTGAGCAAATGCTCATAAATTGACCAAAACTTGGTTCTGATTGCATCGTTACTCTATGGTGTGAGCGCTGATTGGTTCAATCGTTTGATGTCGCGTCGTTTAATTGGCTATTATCTATTAGATGGAAGTGTAGTGGGGGCGAGCCGGCGACATCGGTACCCGTTAAGACGATCAAATCTTCTAAGTTCTTTCTGTGTTCTGTGAGAATATAGCTATATACAATAAGTCTTATAAGCTTTGTGTAAAGCCGATGAACTGACTAAAAGTCAGTTCATCGGATGGATGACCAAAAATTTGTTATCTTGAAATGCTCCGTGTTTCGGAAGGCACGTTAAGAGGGGAGGCGGGCAGTTTTTTTTCTATACAAACGTTCTCGACTGATTCCTCCTTGATTTGTTTCACGGAAGCAATGATTTTCATTTATAATAAAATAATTTTAGGCATCTTTTGTCTTCATTTTTTCGACTAACTTGTGTTTCAAAAAAACTAGAAGCCCTCAAAAATGCCACCCCTTAAAGACATCTAGTGTGGAGTTTCAATAAGCATATATAAAAAAAAAACAAAACACAGAAGCCTAGCATAACTACTCATTATTCTATGGGTAAAATTTATTTAACATTATATTTTATTTGCGGAGGAAACCGTCGAGAGCCAAACCTAGAATTTTGCCATTTTTATAGGCAATTTTCAGCAGTTTAGTAGGTACACTTGTAACCTATCGCAAGATATTTGCCAATACGCGATAGAAATAGGTTTTTTCTAATACCTGTTCATCATATGTCTCTTAGCTAACGACCACTCTTAAGCCGTTGGTCCCGGCTGCATCTGCAGTCGTTAGCAGCCACCAATCCGCACTGGGCCCTAGTGTTGGGTAGTAGATCATTCTCAATATTCCACCAATAAGACAGGCCTGTGCCCCAGCAAAATAAAAAAAACGAGCGAGCCTTACAGTAGTCGCGTATGATGTGTAACATTTGAAACCTCACCTTATATTAGTAAAAAAAGAAATAAAACCTACTACAAACGGAAAAAGCCATTTGAACATTATGTTCTTAAATCAAATCAAATAGCGCGCGCTTTCGCGACTTCCTGTTACACACTTCCGTCCCACAAATCACTCCCACAAATTAAAGGAAAGCGAGAGAAAACATGTTACACATCAAAAAAAAGTTTTTCAAATAAACTCTCACTCCCCTTTTTGAAGGTTAATTTTCGGGGTAAAAACTATCCTATGCATATCCGTCGCTCAAACTGTCTCTATGCAAAATTTTAATTCAAATCAGTTCAGCAGTTTAGGTGTTACGATGACGAGGATGTAACAGACAGATACAAATTCGCATTTATAATATTAGTACGGATTTTAGACTCACCTTCTCGTGGAAGGTGGTGGGTCCTAGGTTCCTGTATTGCTCCTTGATGACCTTCATGGTTGTGTCTGATCCTGATGATGCGAGCGCCACTTTCTTAGCTGCTTCACTGTTCGGCCTAAATATAACGTAAGAAAAAATAATATGTTTTAACATGTTACAATAGGCTATTTGACAGTATGAAAAATAATGTACCAATTGTTGGTACCTGTATTTAATATGTATAATGGCAGCGATTTTACTATTCTGAAAAAACAAATAATTAATTACTTTTCTATAAAATCATTAAAACAGAAATGTTTTTTTTGCTCCACGGTCATGTGACCGAAAACGCCTGCGATTGGCCAACGCTAAAATGACGTCACACGTTAGTAAACTTCCGGCCAAAGTGACATTACACTGTATAGTTTGACGTTTTAATTACAGTCGTGTGACGTCACACGCTAGTGAGATGCCATAATGTCCAAAGAACCGTTTTCGCGGCAACTTAAAAATTTAATTTTTAATTTAGTTTTTTTTACTGAATTACACAACAAAATTAAAAATTTCCAACTTTCTATGGACTCCATAATCATTATTAAATGACGTGAGATCGTTTTCTGAAACTTGTCAAATACCCTATTACAGTCAGTAATTAGACGAGCTCGATGGCGCAAGTGGTTAGCGCGTTCGGCTGCAATCGTTGAAGTTAAGCGACTTTCGCAGAGGTCGGTCATTGGATGGGTGACCAAAAATCTTCTATTTCGAGTTCCTCCATGATTCAGAAGGCACCTTTAACCGTTGGTCCTGGCTGCAACTGCACTCGTTAGCACCCACCAATCCGCACTGAGCCCGCGTTGTGGGTCATGGCCCGATCTCCCTATTCCATCCATAGGAAAGGCCTGTGCCCCACCAGTGGGGACATTCATAGGCTAATGATGAATGATGAAACTCACCTAAACAAGCCCATGAACGTTATCTGTAACGCCACCCACACCAACAGCTGCATCAATATCATAGGTGGAGCACTGTACGCCATAAACCAGAAGAAGTTCACGGAAGGACCGTATTCCGGGAACTCGCTGTAACAATTAGGATAATTAGTAGGACAGCAAATCAACTCAAAATAACAATATCTCTTATCTATTACACAAGTCCGTCTGTCTGTGGTGCTGTTTCAGCGGCCAAACCGTAAGAGATAGATAAAGAGAATATTTAAGTTATAAGTTAAGAATAGTCTGATAAGACTACAAACCGGATTTGAGTAACGTAGCACTTCCGGTTTTCGAGAAATCAGGTTTTGGTGAACATTTGGTTCACTGGTTTGCTAGTAATGATCTAATAAGATTTTTAATTCATTTTTTATTAAATATCAAGGTAGTAGAATGTACAACTTTGCAAACAAAATGATAGACATTTATTCAGACACAAAAGTGGAATCTAGGCGAAAAATTATTGCATGGCTTCTGAATTTATATTATAACGAAGCCGAAAACATACTAATATAAAATGTACCTACACTGGAATCTGTGAAAATATACTCATTCGCAAATATATACACAATCCATTTTATCTTAATACACATACACTTACCACAAACTTGTTTTTTCATATTATAAATAATAATTTCATTTAAACTTGAACAGTTTTGTTATATAGATTACTATAAATTTTAATCATTTTGCAGGGATATGGGCTGGTGGCCTGGTGTTCTATTAGACAGGCAGTTTACTGCCCAGTTTAGACACCAGTCTCTCCACAATATATTACTGTAAATATATCTGTTTAAAATACAAACAATAAAATACCCGGGTTGGAATCCCGGTGGGGGCAGATGTTTGTGTGATGAATACGAGCATTTGTACTCCAGTCATGGATGTTTAATATGTATTTATATAAATATACTTATATATGTATAGTATATGTATTCTATCCGTTACCCTAGCATCCCATAACACAAGCCTTATAGTGCTTACTTTGGGGCTAGGCTAATTCGTGTGAGTGTCGGAAATATTTATTTATTATTTATTTAAAATATGGTATCGATTCTAGCATGATTCTCTAAACCTAAACTTAAATTTGACAGCAGTATATCCTTGTCATTCTCAATACAGAATGAAAAGGAGAGACTGATGTTAAATTTAGTTTTAAGTTTAGAGAATCACGCCAGAATTGGCACCTATGTCTGTAAAAAAAAAATGTAAAATAAACTTTATACTCACGAATCGAAAATGCCTTTGAACGCCGAATTGGTAGCCGTTCCGACGAGAGTACCGGATCCGCCCAACGTGGAAGCGTACGCGATACTCAAGTAGTAGCACACAGTTATGTCGCTAGGAATGGGTGGGGATCTGTAACCAATATGGAAGTTTATTGTTTTAACGCTTTAATAACTTTTAAAATTACTTAAGAGCTCGTCGGAATCTAAACAAAATTATCTAAAACTAGCTGTGCCCTGCGGTGTTACCCGCGGTTTATAAGGGGTATTTTCCCGCAGTAAAACGTAGCCTATGTGTTAATCCAGGGTGTCAGCTAATTCCATACCAAATTTTATTAAAATCGCTCCAGCCGTTTAGACATGAAGAAGTAACAAACATACACACTCACAAATTTTCGCCTTTATAATATTAGTGTGAGTGAGTAATTTGAAAATAAGAAAAAAGTTTGGACTTACTCTTCCGCAGCTTCTTTGGGCTTAACCTCTTTTCCATTCTCGGGTAGTGCGTTCTTCTTCCTGTTGATGTAAACGTCGCCAAGCCCTTGCTGAAAATAATAATTCATCATCATTAAAAGCCTATTATAATGAGCCCACTGCTGGGGTACAAGGGTTCCCTATGCATGGGATAGAAGATTGGAATTTGATTGACCACGTGGGCCTATTGGTGGGTGCTAACGACTGCAGATGCAGCCGGGACCAACGGCTTAACGTGCCTTCCCATATATTATCTGTGAGTTATGCATGTAATTGCTCAGACAGAATAAAAATACCTTGTGTTGTGGACAAACGAGTTTCAAAATCTCGCCTACACAAGTGGTCCCGGGTTCGAATCCCGGTGGGGGCAGATGTTCATGTGACGAATACAAGCATTTGTACTCCAGTCATGGATGTTTTATATGTATTTCTATATAAATATACTTATATGTGTTTTTTTTAAGCATTTAACTGCTAGATGTTTAAATCTAAAGAAAAGTTTTACTAGAAAAGAAATCCATGCGGACGGGACCCGAACCCGCACCCTTCGCAATCCGGGCGAATGCACTGACCAATTATGCTACCACGGCCCTGATGGCCGCGTCGAAATTTTCCTAGTCTTAAGCTGCAGGCATTCGCCCGGATTGCGAAGGGTGCGGAATTGAGTCCCGTCCGCTGCCTGGTCCGCATGGTTTTTTTTTCTAGTAAAACTTTTCTTTAGATATAAGCTTTGTGGCTAGGCTAATTGGTGTGAGTGTAGGAAATATTCATTTATAAACGCCTACAACACCTAGAGTATCAGTCGTGGGGTGCGTAGCCAAAACAAACATAATAAAGACACATTGGTCTTAATTAATGTCAATGCAGGCCGGCAAGGTGAGCATGGTTGGTGTGGCAGTTTATTACTGGCTGCTGTACCAGCTATCTTCGCGTTTGTACTTTATGTCTCCTTAAGAAAGGTTACTATACTGTTGAAGATTTCATAAATGACTAGCTGACCCAGCGAACTTCGTACCGCCCTAAAAAAATAGGGGTTGTCCAGCGGATAAAATTGTGAATCTGAACCATTCTCAGATCCCCTTGAACACACACAAAAAATTTCATCAAAATCGGTCCAGTCGTTTAAGAGAAGTTCAGTGACATACACACTCACAGAAGAATTATATATATAAAGATAAGTCACCTTGGGCTTAATATAACAGACTAAGTCGTTTTACTTTGCTGATTTGGTTGAAAATTGTTTAATCGCCACTTCTAAATTTAAAAGTAGTACCTAGCTATACTTAACTTTTGTTAATTAATAATATTAATGTGATGGAAGTTGACATCAACACATGTTCTCAATTTTTAATAAAAAAAAGTATGTTAATAAACATTCAATGGAGCGAGCGAGACAGAACTTGCCGCTTCAACGCAGCGCGAGCGAAACGGCGAGTCCGCTTCCGAGTCCGTACAGCTGAGCTGTATTGTTGTGCTTTTCTTGATAACAAAATGGCGATTACGTAGGTAAATAACATTCACGACAAACCGTGATTTTTGAGCAAAAAAATGTTTTTACAGATTTACGAATAAAATGTGTTGCCGAGTCATTTGTTATTTGATTTTGAACTATTGTGTTCTTTATAAAAGCATCGAAGGCATTGTTTTATTTTTATAACACAGAATCTACGCAATATTGTTATATAGTGCACATGTAGCGTATTTGAACGTCCAATTGTGACTAAAGCGAATTGTGGACACAGCCCCATAATTACCTGCTCCAATACTTCCAATATGGCCTCGACGATTGGCACCATCATGGTGGTGGCGGCGGCGTTTGACACCCACATCGATATGAACATAGTCACGAACGTCAGACCGAAGTTCAATCTGTGAATAATCAATAAAAGGCGACCGATAAGTAATAGACAACTAAGTGTCCTCTATACTTTGGATTACTTAAATAATTAATTTAAAATCTATCAAAACTGAATACTATAGTGGGAGAAGAATTGAAATAATCAATAGAAAAATGGCCTTTTATAACATAATAAAGAACAAATCTCTCTAAAACGCAGAGCTCCAGCAACCCTTTTTTACTATAGGAATATATCACTACACTACACCAGCCCCCGTAGCATGAGCACCACAATTTACATTATATCACGTTTTTATCGCGTCTAACTGTCAAACTCCATAGTAATTTGACAATTGAGCATGATAAAAACGCGTTATATATCATATCGTGGTACTCATGCTAGGGGGGATGGCTCTATACATTTCAGGTAACTTTCGATATGTTGTGATCGTTACCATGGCCCTAATGGCAGGATCACATTCGAGTAATGTCTTTCGTGCACCCGAATACGAGCTAACGACCAAATATAATTGAGCCATAACTCGCCGCCTTCCCGAGCGAGAGAGTCGCAACGAGCCCACGCTTCTAACGGCAAGATGGCAAGTAATTTCGAGATTACGCGCTTTTATAGGCAAGTTATGGCGATGATACCGCGCTTCATCTGCAAGTAATTGCGACAAGTCGACGAGATAGGTTTGTTATATAGAGAATACTTACGCTTCTTCTTACACGTATCGTAAAGAATATGAAAAAAGAATGTGAGCCAACACGGGACGCTTGGCAGATGTGAAACACTAGCTGGCTTACGATAAATACACTCGGAGAATTTGATCGGGATGCGTGCGCTAAAAAATGACATAGATCTTTCCTCAAAGGGCGCTGGCGCCGTACTGATCGGAGAGTAATTGAGCACTGGTATATATTGCATTTACGGGCGAGCGTTGCCACGCCAGAAATCGGTTTTACGTGCGCCAAAAGATGTTTCACATCAAAAACTTACCTTCTATGTGAACAACCGACGACTTGCACGGTCCACAAGGCCACTCTCTTCGGCAGCTTCGAGTGCTGCACACCAGCGGCTATCATCAAACCACCCATGAACATCATGTTGGTCTCCTTCATGTAAGCCGCGCAAGTCTTGTCGGAATCCAGGATTCCCATCGTAGGGAACAAAACGATAGGCAACATTGATGTTACGGGCAGTGGGAGTAACTCTAGCACCCAGTACACCGCCATTATTATCACGATGAACATACATCTGTAGGCCTGCAGATTAAATTTTTATTTTAAGGGATATGAATCATTTGCTGGGGACAACGATATTCAATACCCTAGATACAACATCACGAAAAAACACGTGGCCGAAAACATGTCCAAAAGGTACATTGGACGATCCACCGAGTAAGATTATGGCGTAGTCAAAAACAATATAAGGCATTATTTAAACATTTAAAGTCACCTTTAATGCATACTGCATAAGGTCTTTATTGAAACGCACGCGTCAAACAGTTATGACAGTTCGAAATGCAAACTCGTAAAATTTTACGACTTAATGCTATATGCGGAAAAATATAGACCTTACTTCTTCGTTTCTACGCGCAATTCTGAGTGCGCTGTTAGCAAAATAGCAGGTACGGACCGCGAGGAAAAGAGACTGCTATATTAACGACCATGCATTATCAGAAATTTTAATATTTTCAATTAAATCAGTTAATAGAAAGTATTAGAACAAGATTTGCTTCAAAAGCGTTAAGTTAACAAACATTGTTTAGGTACCTGTCGAAAAAATGACACTTTACGTACTATAAGTATTGTTTTCGTATTTTTTCACGGCTCTCTGCGGCATGTTGACTTTTCAACGGCCCGCGCGTGACTGTGAACCAAGAAGTGCCTGAGTGGTGTTCAAGCACTTCTTGATTGGGACATATTTTCAACGCACGTGGTGTATCTAGGGTATTTAATATCGTTGGCTGGGGAGCTCAATTGTAACTAAAAAAAATCAACATGGAGCGGCGAGAGCGATAGACTAAACTCACGAGTTAATTAAGCGCTTCCGTGAAAAACACACAGAGAGATAGGGCATAGCGGCTTTTCCGCTCGAATCGGAAGGCTCGTCTGGTAAGTAACCTCGACTCACAGAAGACCAAAATAAAATAAAACAACCTTTTGGTCGTGTTGTTTCTGGCGGTGAGTAAGGTTCCAGGGTAGGGTAGGGGATTGGATCAGGGTAAGCAACAGTGTGAGTGATATTTTGGTATCGCAAGCGTCTATAGGCTATAGTGGTCTCTTACCATCAGGTGGTACATACTTTTAACATTAAAATAAGTCTTTTCGAAGTCATTCAAATAACGCGGAGATAAAGCACTCGTGTGAAAGGCTTGAAAAAGATCTTGAATTTTTGGTCCTTCGAGCCGGATGTTACAATGAAAATTTATTCAATATTTATGTTCTAAATAAAAACATACTAGTCAAAAAATGTTTAAACATCAAAACTACTCACCGGGTCTTTGTTTAAAATGGGTATCGGTAGAAGAATAAGCGGTGTCAAAACCACGATTATAGACTTCCAGTAAATGGACAGGAATAAGCTTATCCGTTGCCATGCCGTCGCACTGGTTCTACTTCTGGAAAAAAAATACGTTGTTCCTCTGGAAAAGAGAACAAACACATATTATAATGACCTGTTTCGACCCGGCCCGTTGTTAGTGCGCTGAAAACGAAAATAATAGCAAATTAAAATAAAACAAGACACATTCCTTGCAACATAACAGTGAATTGACGAATTGATCCAGTTATTGGTTTGTGAAATGGTTGTATTCAATGAAGTTGACGATACTAGGGGAAAATAAGTTCAGTTTGATATCATCAGTCAAGAAAGACCCAGGGTCGTAGACAGAGCATAGTAGTATTTTTAAAATTTGGCACTCCCTCATAAGATTTGTACCCTCCAGAATAGGGGTGATGACGGGGTACAGTAAACAAAATTCTATTTAGTCCGTCAGTTAGATGATCAAAAAATAATGGACACGTATTTTTTCTTTGGGCAATCAACCAAAAAATGACAAAGTTATAGCGCGTCAAAGTTTGGGAGAAGGGGCTCGTGACGTCATTTTTGAGTGAAAATTGTACTTGTTTAATTGTAAAACGTGACGTCAAGCGAATTTTCAAATCAATATATCTCTGCAATGTTTATATTATGTGAAAAAAGAAAAAATACGTGTCCAATACTTTTTGATAATCTTCCTGGAAAACAAGGAAAAAAGAATAGTCATCATCCCTATTAGTTAATGAAATCATAATATAGGTCAGTCATTAATGCCTTTTTATAGTTTCTGTTGTTCTTCGCAGCCTACTGCCCCATATTAAGGTAGGGCAATGGTTTTCCAAAGTAGTAATGACCCTAGCTACGGCCCTTTAAGAAGTCCATGCAAAAGATGTGCGGTCAGAGATCTATAGAATCGAAATTTGGCTATTGATTGTATATGTGAAATAAAGAAGAAACCAAAGTATTTATCAAACTTTCATGGTTATAATGATCATGGACGTAGCTAGGGGAGGGAGAGAGCAGAATATTAATCAACAATTTAAAAAAATATTGTTGAGTGAATGTTAGTTCATCTGGATGGCCCCTCCTAGGAGATCCCCAGCTACGCCAATAATTATGATAAGATAGGTAGAAATAGCAAGAGATATAATAATGATAGCTCTAGCTTAGGTGCTTTGAATTAATGAATGACAGCTACAGAATAACCAATATTTCATTAAATATTATATCTACCTTTTCTGTTTTATTAAATATAGTTCAAGCAGTTAATTCATGCTCAATCCTGAAAATTTGAACGGAACCAGTTGCACACCTTTAAAGTGATGAAGTGGTACAAAATGATTTTTTTTTCTATTACAATACAATGAGAAATCACCCATGAAAGACAAGATTTATACTGAGCTGCCTTTTAGTGTTATCACCACTATCATAAGAATAAGTGCTAAGAACTGATTTCTTTATGGTAAAAAACTAAAATTACATGCAAAGTGCCATGCTAAAACTAAAACAAATAGAAATAGTGAGCAAACATTGCACTAATAGCAAGGCAAGGCCACTTACAAACTTATTGTTAGTACCGGGCTAGAGACAGGTAATATAATGTGTATTTACTCTTTTTGTAAACAAATTTCAGGCAAAATTTCTGTAAAAAAATTATGAAGGAAACCTGTTTAATTTAATCACAATATTCGCAGCCTACTTATATCTAAGTATTTCTATTTAAATAGACAAATAGAGTGTGATCCAATCAGTATGATAAATTCTAGAGTCCAGGGTGATTTGTGGACCATCTTCAAGATATTCAATGCTAAGTAAGACAAACACACAGTAAGGCAATAACACATTGGGGCATTGCTCAATATCAAATGTAATAGTTAAAATACTATGGGCAAATCAGGAACAGCAGTTGTAGTAAAACTACTCTGACCAGAATCCAAAATGCCCCCTGCATTTTGAAATCTCATTGCAAGATTGTAATGCTTACTACTTGCCTAATGGACAACGGGTATATGGGTATTTATCATAAGATTTCTCTCGATTCCGTAAGCCAATTTATCGCACTTATTTCTGTATGAACTTAGATAATATAAAGTTTAATTAGAGTAATTTATTAAACAATTTACTGGTAATAAAAATTATAATACATTCACCAAAATTAATAAAATTTCATAGGGTAGATACGAAATATTTTATTTTAAATTTACAGGGATTCTTTAATGACTTACCGAGTTTCATCGTTCACGTGCAGACCGTTTTCCACAGCGTTAGACATTTTCCTGAGCTGCTATATTTTTTGATTTTCTCAAAAATAAAGTAGCGATATCTTTACTTGATATTCACATTCCCTTCATCATCTACAACAAAGAAAAACACGCTAATTTAATTTCTTAGGCTCAATCATAGTTCCAGGCAGGTAGCGACGTGTTCTTTCTTAGATGTTTAGAAACATGGTATTTTATATTCAAATTTTACCTCTAAAATGGAAAATTGATATCAATAAACAAAGATGACAAATTGACAGTTAAATTTGACAGGACGCTTACTAGAGATGCCCGCTATGAATCGATATCTTGGAGATTGATCTAATAATAATAATTGATCAATCTGAGATAAAGTTCCCCCCAACTATTTCTCAGTTAAATTGCATCATGCCCAGAAGATAGTATGAGTGAATTCGGGTTCACACTATGCTTGTTCTACTAATATTACATTCCGCCTCAGAATACTAACATACTAGTGTTGATTCTGGCATGATTCTCTAAACCTAAAATTAAATTTGACAACAGTGTATCTTTGTCATTCGCTATACAGAATGAAAAGGAGAGACTGATGTAAAATTTTGTTTTAAGTTTAGAGAATTACGCCAGAATCGACACCATTAGCTCTGACTCTGGTATAATTCTTAAGAGTCAAATCTATTCTTTTGTTATTTTAAGTATTAAACTGCTAGATTTAAAAAAAAATGAAAAATACTAGAAAAATCGCACGTCCATGCGTACTGCATGTTTTGCACAGATGTTCTGTAGAAAACAGATGTGGGATTATCACTTTGTCAGTGCGACTAGTTTTGCATGACTTGATTAGACTAAATAACAACTACCTATGTGTTAATAATTCTATGGCTGTTTATCTGAAATAAATGATGATACTATTATTATATTATAAATAGTAATATAATAGTGCCTATTTTAACATTCCAAAATCCTTTTCATTCTGTATTGAAAACGACAGGGATACACTGTTGTCAGAGAATCATGCCAGAATCGACACCAGTATATCCTTCTCATTCTTTATACAGAATGAAAAGGAGAGACTGATGTTAATTTAGTTCTAATAAAGTAAGCACGGAAGGCTTGTGTTATGGGATGCCAGGGTAACGGATACAATACAAATACGGTGCCAAATCTGGCGTGATTCTTTAAACTTTAAACTAAATTTAACATCAGTCTCTCCTTTTCATTCTGTATTGAGAATGACAAGGATATACTGCTGTCAAATTTGAGTTTAGGTTTAGAAAATCATGCTAGAATCGACACCACTGTACATACATAAGTATATTTATACAGAAATACATATTAAATATCCATGACTGGAGTACAAATGCTCGTATTCATCACACAAACATCTGCCCCCACCGGGATTCGAACCTGTGACCTCTCGAGTGGGCGACACCATGAAACCCGGCGTACAAACCACTCGGCCGCGTAGGTCGTGTTCTAAGTTTAGAGAATCATGCCAGAATCAATACAATTAATAAAAATAATTAAAGTAATACAAGCATTTCAACACCTTCAACGATCAATATGACAACAATCTAAAAATATATGGCATTTTCTTAATCTGTGAACATTTCAACAAGTTGGCCACACGTATAAATTAAAATGGGAATTTCTGTGTAAAATGGAAACACACAAAGAACAAAAAAAAATAAGGGCTGTATGGACTCAGAATCCTTTGCCCGTCCCAACAGGGACAAACTAACCAAAAAAAAAATTAAAGGGGTTTTTGGCGGGATTTCATCGAGTGCGGTTGGCGTCTTATTTTAATTATTCTTAAATTCGTTCATAGTGGATATTGTGAAATAAAATTGGTGTGGTTTTGTGTAACAACTGTCTGCGTAACTGAAGAAATAGTGGAATCATTAAAATATACGCTATTCCGGTCAAGTGGACGTGAGAATTTTACTGTAGTGTTGACTACCACACAGAAGCTTATCGAAAAAGCCAACTCGATACATTTCGTGCCAAACACTCCAAGAAACATTAGAATGCGTCACAACGATATTCTAATGTAAAAACAAAAAGAAGATAAATTTAATTAAAGACCAGGCTGTATGGGCTTTGTTCCCCTTGCCTTCCCTAAAACGGGAGAACTTCAACAAAAAAAAATTAAAATGTCAATGTCATCAGTCGAAGCGATTTATAAACAAAAACAGCTGAGTAAAAAGAAATCTTCTGAACATCTAAATTATCTAAAATAAACTTAATATTAAGTTAACAGTCATTGGTGGCAAATAAAACATTATTTTAGCTTGAGGTTGTGTCATAAATACAGAGAATAACTTGAACGAGGATGAGCAAGCATGAGTCCAAGACGGAGGCCGAAGGTAAGTCAATTGTAGTATGATTTTAGCTAAAGTTTAAGATTTTGCATAAAACATTTGCTGACTAGATATTTCTGGTATATTCCTATTATTACATCGAAAATCTCTGGTAAAAAATCTATGGTCTATAATCTCTAAAATCTCTGGTATATTCCCATTATTACAACCCAGTATTCTTTTACTTTTCTTTATTTGGTACTGTTAGGTTATGTGTTATCAAGGTTCGGTTATTGTATATAAGCTAGTTAACATTTGGATACCCATACACATGAAACAGGAATACTTGAACTACCTTTGAATAAGTTTTGTGCCTTATGGAATTCATAAAATTATCTAAGAAAACTCAAATAAAGCACTTACGGTATGTATTGGGTGCTGGTTTTCAGAAACTGTTGTAACAAGTTGAAATACCGAGCACCTAGTTTAGGGTTGCAACCAAAAAATAACTTAAAGCTACCTCGTATAGACTTTAATTATCGTACAAGAAAGATAAATAGATTAATAAAACATCATAACTTTAAAGAAGAGTGTATAGCCAGATTCTCAGAGTATGATGCCTTAGAGAAATGTGGTAATGATTGATTACATTTTACTTCTGAGCAGTGTGCAATTCCTGTGGAAAATATGCATTTCATTACGTAATAATTTGCTGAACATACACGCTGAACATCATAATAAGCGAGCAATAATCAGCGAGTTGTCTCTAGCATATGTAGCACCCGTGGGCAATCCCCTAGGGCTTTCTAGTTAAGGTACTGTCAATATGTAATTGTACTGAGTGTCGCTTGCTGCCACCCCATGACTGTTTCGCCCATGGGCTATACACACCCTGCACTATAGGTTAAGCCTCTTTATGTACTTAAGTATTATATTTAATTTCTAGTACAGATGGATGAATCATGCCTTAGTATTGTGGAAAACTTGCAAGTGCACAGATTATGTTACATAAGGCATTGTTGTTTGTTGAAAAAAACAATCATTTACCAATGTTTCAACCTCATTTTAGCTATAATAGGCAGTTTAATATTCATAAATTTACATTTACCAAAAAGTAAGAACTTGCTATGAGAGAAAAGAATACTGTTCCGCGTCTTTCCTGGATGTGCAACAGGCGTTTGACAAGGTTTGGCACAAGGGCCTATTGTACAAGGTTAAAAAGAACCTACCACACTCGGTTTACCTCATAATTGCATCGTACCTGTCACAAAGATACTTTAGGGTTAAAGTCGATGACTCACGATCTTCCTTGCAAGCTGTGGAGGCTGGAGTCCCGCAAGGATCGGTACTTGGTCCGGTTCTGTATAACATATTCACGTACGACCTTCCCACTGCTGGCGACGCTGTAATTGCTACATACGCTGATGACATCGCATACCTTGCCTGCGATAAAGACCCTGACATAGCTAGTGCAAAGCTACAGAACCTATTAGATCAAACTCACGCATGGCTGAAAAAATGGCGTATTCGAGTCAGTGGTCAAAAATCGAACCACATTACGTTTGCATTAAGGAAGGGAAACTGTTCTCCTGTTCACCTTGGGTCAGACACACTCCCACACTCAGATTGCGTCAAGTATCTTGGTTTCCACTTGGATAGGAGACTCACCTGGAAGCAGCACTTAAAGAAAAAGAGAGATGAAGTTAATATAAAATACAGAAACCTTCATTGGCTTATGAACCGTAACTCTGCCCTGTCAATCGACAACAAGCTTCTTATTTACAATACCATTATAAAACCAATTTGGACTTATGGGATACAGTTGTGGAGCACTGCTTGCAAAAGTAACATTACTTGCCTGCAACGAGTTCAAAATAATATCCTCAGAACAATAGTAAATGCACCATGGTTCACAAAAAATGACGAAATTCATGAATACTTGAACATGCCCACTGTCGCAGAAGAGATAGCCAATTGCAAATCGAGGTACACTGAGCGCCTCTCAAACCATCCAAATCCTTTAATATGCCAATTGCTTGAGCAAGCTGACCGCGTCTCGAGACTGAAGAGGAAGAATGTTCTTTAAAGGAAGTGGTGGCGCTGGCCGACCACTCCTGTCATGTTTGGTTGCGCTCAATAAATTTGCTCATAGTCCAAAGACTGATTGCAAATAATATATAAAAAAAAAAAAAAAAAAAAAAAAAAAAAAAAAAAAAAAAAAAACATTTACCAAATCAAAATAAATATTACATTCCGCACTTTCATTTAAATTTATAAATTGTAATTAACTATTTCAGGTTAGGTTATCATAGGTTCTCGTTTACCACTTAGTGGTTTTTTCCCCTGAAAATTTATTGATTATGTTATTTAATTTTGTATTTTTTTTACATCAATAATTTTATTACCTTTCCATCTCTAAGATTTCAGTCCTCTCCACTTGATACACTAATTGGAGCATGGACTATCCTAAATGATTTGTTTTGGACATTTCAATTAAGAAAAATATCTTTTAATTTTTATAGTGAAGCAAACAAATCTATAATATCATATTAAATCAATAAAATAGTTAGCTCCAAAAGAATTTGAAATATTTATTTATTATGTACTTTATTATCTTATAGTTGCATTATATTTTATATGTTTTGTATGTATACATTAGTTTATTATTAATTATTATAAATATATATTAATATAAAGTCAGAATATGGCTAAAAACAAGGCCTACAGTTTAATTTGTAATTACCTATTAAGTAGATATAAGGGCAAGTTGCCCCTCATGTTTGCTTTGCCCTGGCAGGTTTTCACAGTAATGAAAGCTAAAATTAGTAACATCAGTTAAACCTGTGATTTACCATAATAATAAATAAATGAATGTGCCACACAACTTTTTAATAAATACTTATCTTCATTAGGATATTATGAGTGGATCACCATTTTATTACCTACTTATTAGAAGTACATACATGGTAAGAAACCACAAATATTGAATTAATCGCAGAATGGTAACATGACGCTAGGGCACGTGATAAATAGTAGTATTTATGATGTAGATTAGAGGCCACAAAAAAAGCGTTCCAGACCTATAGATCTAAACAGATATTTAATTTATATTATTTTTCCTACACAATTCATTTCAATTCATTCAATCTCCATAAATTTAAAATTATTGTGTTATATTTTGTATGATTTGTGTCCGATCCAGCAATATCTACTTGTGTCGAAACTTTCGAAATATTAAAATAAGTGGCGAAGTAGAATCAAGTTTCGATCCGAATATATTAAATATATCTAGGGGACGTATATCTTAATTCATCATGTTCGCGACTGGATTCCGCTTACTTTTAATGTAAATTTGCTGCGCCTCGTATAAAAAAATGGTTAAAGGATCGTCGTGTTTTACCAGCGATATTAGTGAACTGTTCAAAACCCCTTTTTAATTAGTGAGTTATATCTATATTTATCGATCTAGGCAAAGTAATTCGATTATAATATTTTAATTGACAATCACAGATGTTTATGAGCGTGTTTTGCGTAGTTCCTCGAGATTATTCATGTGCAAGTAGTTCAAGGTCCTAACCTGCACGGCCCCAATCACAGGACATAATGACTGTTAGTAACTAACTAGGAAGTATTTTATAGGTAGTACCTTGCTCTGATCAAGGTGTCTATGATAGTTGGTGCCACGACAACGCTACTGCTTTAATTAATGAGCCTGCCCTTAACTACAGAACAGCTGATATATTAATAAATTAAATGCAATTAAGTGTTTATTATATACCCATCGCTTTATTAGTGCAAAACATTTTTAAGCTATTTCAATATCAGTAAACAGTAATTTATAAAAATAAAATAAAAATACTTTGTTTTCCTCTATTAGTAGGTCTACTTGATCCGGCAATATGTATATGGGAAAAATCGTTGTTTCTAAACGTATAAAAACATATCAAAATTATCCAAACAAACATCCTATCTCCGTCCATCATCCATCATCATCGGTGTTGGGGCCTTCCTAATGGATGGAATAAAGAGAACGGGCCTGCATGGTAGGCATAACCCACCACGAAGTACATGAACAGTACAAGACAGTAAATGAAGTAGGAGGAACTCGAGATAAAAAATTCTTGGTCACCCATCTGCTAAGCACTAACCGAGCCATTGTGCTCCTCCGTTACCTCCGTTTATTCTAAAATATATTTATGTTACCCAATCGAAAGAGAACTTGAACAATAAACACGATATTCTCTCATAATATACGCCCCCAGAACTCGACGACAAAAGTGTCTTTGAATATGAACAAACAATTGATTTGAATAACTTGCAAAAGTTCGGTCCCAGATTACTTAATAGTTACTACGTAAGTTCAGTTCACCGTTTTGACTTTGAACTTGTCGCACGTTTCATGGCCACGCTGACGTCACAAGGAAGCGTACGCCCGCTACGCTACTACATATCGGACAATCAGCCATCTAATTTGCCATCTGATTGTCTTTCGTAAATGTAGGTATCATGCCATCGATAAAAAGGCGCGAAATTGCTTTTTTATTTCCTAACCCACAACCTACGTTGTTATTTGAAAAAACGGCTATTATTTTACTGCCTTCGTGCATGAATGCATACTAGCGACGGATGCATTTGTAGATTAAATTGAAAAGGGATGCATGGATACGCATTTTGTATACAAATCAAGATAATGCATAATACAATATTGAAACCGCGGCGTCTTAATCCAACAGGCCTATTTTCTAACTTGCAATGCAACCCAATTGCTACCGAAATGTTAAACCAGAATGGGCGCTCAAAATTCTTCAAAATACTTAAATTATTGCTCTATGGTTCAGTTTAATTTGGCCGAGTAAGCGGATTGCGGCGGCAATGTGATAATTGCCTACCTATAGGCAAATGCTCTAGTCATATAATAATTCCTTGCATAAGCATCAGATCCATATCTACAAACTCAACGATGCCGCTTTTGTCATCAGCTGGGCTTGGGGTTGAGATGTTCTACGGAATTAATAATGACAAGTTGCCAGTCTACAATTTCTTTAACGATCCGTTGATGTGATTGA